TCTCTCTCTCTCTCTCTCTCTCTCTCTCTCTCTCTCTCTCTCTCTCTCTCTCTCTCTCTCTCTCTCTCTCTCTCTCTCTCCCCCTCCTCTCTCCCCCTCCTCTCTCTCTCTTTTTCTCTCTCCCCCTCCTTCTACCTCTTCTTCTCATTGTCAGCATGGTCTGCCTTCGCTTTCGTAACGCAACACGCATCGCGCGCGCGTATTACGCAGAAGTCTCTCATTGTGTTTTAATCTCTCTCTCTTTTTCTCTCTCTCTCTCTCTCCATCTCATTCTCTCTCTCCCACCAGATTTGATGATTCCAGCTCCCCGCAGACTTGGACTTTCCGTCAGATCGGCACCGGACAATCGTCGGCCGCGCGCGATACATGTCGCCGGACAGTCGGAAGCTTCGGCTCGACCGTCGTCTCATCCGCCTCGTCCGCGGACCTTTCATGTTCAGTGCGGCCTGCGTTCATTACTCGCGGTCGCGTGTCAGATGGTATTTTCAACCGCTAGTCCTCGCGCGTCTTCTCACGAGCGGTAGTCTCAGTGGAGAACGCGCGTCACTCGTGTTCGCCAACCCGTGGAGCGCCGCTGAGCAAACAAGAGGAGCCGTGGTGAGGGAGCATGGCGAGAAACTCGGTGTGAGGGCACGCGATGAGAGAGCCGAGAGATCGAGCGCGAGTCTTCAGGTTGAATCGACGTTCCTCGGGACCGGAGAGGACGGGAGAGGCGAGAGCACCCCTTCGTAAATTGAGGCGTTCGCACTTGGGGAATTTCTGGAGCGGCACGAGCGACGGTAAAACTCGTCGGAGAATATACACTTCGAGGCTTGGGCCGATGTGAATGCTTAATTGCGGGTAAATAGCTTCGCGTTTTGTGAGCCGAGAGTCGACTTTAATTTTTAATTACGACCGGCGCGCCTGATCACGCGTGGATTCCCTCGTGCACGGGCGGTCCGGTCGGTTCTGCAAAAAGGCATTCCTCGCGGCGGCAAAAAGTCTCAAGGACGGAGAGCGAAAGTGTTGCGGTTCCGCCGACTAACATTTTGGCACCGGCACGGCGCGTGCTCCGAACCCGAGGAAACCCGACGATTCCACCTCGCATCGCGGAAAGTTACGTCGAGAGATTCGCGCTCCTCTGGACAACAATAAATTTCCGAACGGCAAAACCACGTCGTCCTTCTGTGTTTTAACGAGAGAAAAGTCACGCTCTTTCGCGTCGCGTACTTTATTCTACACACACCCGTGCGATCGCAGTTGCCGTCCTTAAAGAAAGATTACATTTCGAAGTCGTTTGAAACGTATTTATCTCGGCAGTTATCGCTGGTGCGGTCACTTGGGATGTGTTTCTAGAAATGAACGTTGTTATTCCGGACGTCCTTCCTAAATATACTTTTATTGACGCGCTGCGGGGTCTCGCGGGTCTGAAAGTGATAAAGCGACGACCTTTCGCCGCGCGAGGCCGCGTTAAATTAATTAATTAGCGGGGCAATAATTTACCGCGAATTATACGCGACGCTTAGAATTACGGGCGGCTCCGATCGCGCGTGTTGATTCAGCAAAATATAGCTCGACGATAGCTGTATCATAGCGCGATTACCGTGCGCTTGTGCCTCGCGCGATAACAGCGGCCGCGTTAAATAATAAATCATTATGCGAGCGCGGTGACGTTAATTGGGAAATCTCTGCTTGGGAAATTCTGTTAAAGACATCTGTTCGAAGGGATGGCAGTGGGGAAGGGATCAACCATGGATCTTCGTCTTTGCCGCTGGCTCGTTTTCTCTCTCGTCATTATTCTCGTAGATAGCTACGAGTACGTCACCGCTAACAAGTGTAAGTAAGACGAGAATCCGCCGATAATACCATGAAATTATTCTATTACCGCACTACGAGCTCTTCAAAATGTGCAGTGCGAACTGAATTTTTCGAAGCACGTGACATAATCCGTCGACGAGCGAACGTTGAAATTATAATAAGAAAGTCTGTGTCGTTCGGAGAAAAGGACGGTTCTCTATTTCTCGGTTGCAAACCGCTAAATTATGTAATTAATTGCAACACGTAGATCGTAAAAGAAAATTGCAAGATACGCGCGCGTATACTTTGCGGTTAACTATAATGTTTACTATTTTTGCATGCTCTTCCCCTAGTAGCACAATACATTGGTGCAATATTGGGAAATCATGCAAATCTAGGCCAGTATTCGTAGTCAGATCTTATATTCAAGACTATCCCTATGTAATTGATATAAAATGTAATTAATATTAAAAAAACCTAGACTTGAAAATATTAATGAAATATGTATCTTCTTCTGTCGAAGAACCGTGTACTAAAAATGAAAATTGTGATGCTTTAGGGACACTTTGTCTAGTCGAAAGTGTACATACTACGCAAAGAATTCTTTCACTCTGTCCAAAGCTGGCTAAGAGTCCGATAGAATGTGTGATAGAAGCTGATAGGCAAGTATGACGCAAATAACGGAATTTTTCTAATGATAAATGTTTCTTTCAATTTAAACCCTTACAGAAATGTAACAACTGGGAACGAAAAAAAGCACAGAACAATTATTAGAATTTAGTAATTGCAGAATTATTGGAAATTACTGATGTACAGTAATTTTCTAATAATTATTTCCGCTTACATTTCTATAAGGGAATGCTTACAAATTTTCGTTTTCCTTTCTCGAAAAAGCTACATCTTCAGAGACGGTCGTTTACGAACAAACTAAACGTATATACTTTATAACAGTACATAATAATATGTATTATATAACACGAGTCATTTGGAAAGTAGTTCTCCGTTCCTGAAGGATTAAGTGGAGACGTGGCTTTTTCGAAAAGACTGATTTGACCGCGAGACTTGCCGATCGATCAATTTTTCCGAATACGAATGTCCCGAAGAATAGTATATTTTCCATAAGGAAGTAAATTTGATTTCTAGATTTGGCTGTTTACGTCGAGTAACCAATGGTGATGTCGATATCACTGTGTTGGAGCCAGAAGAGCTCGTGGCGATAAGAAACTACAAACTGTACAATGTACTAGTCACAAATGAATTAAGACTCTTCCTAGAGGGTAATTAATTAAGCTAAAAACATCGCGCGAAAAATGCATGAAGTGTCTCACCTTGTCGAATGTCGATTGATTTTTAGACGAATTCAAATCTCAATTATAATGCAGCTCTCTTTGTTTCTTATGCATTAATTCTTGTGCAATTATTATACTAATCGAACCTGTTGATTTTATCTCGTTCAAAAATAACTTTAAATGTTTTTAATGAAAATTAATCGGCGCCGATTTGCTGCTACGAGATCTACCATTGAAATTCCGATTATCTCACATGAAACGATTTGTTTTTTAGATGATCATCGTTTTGAAGTAGTGGCCATAGCGCACAGAAATGTGCAACGAATATGGGACGTCAAAGGCAAGCGGTTGTGTCATCCCGGTCTCGACACCATTGACGATTGGACCAAGATTTTCTCGATGGTTGGTGAGCTCTTTTCCTTGTATCAGCGTGCTCGTTCGAATCATGCTCATTCCACGATCTTTCGTATTTCAGTACTTCGAGAATCTGATAATTAAAAAGGAGTGCGACGCGAACATGACGCTGTTCGAGAACAGAATGCACGCTCTGTCCAACTACTTCGAGACGGCTTGCATCGCTGGCCCCTGGTCGGCAGACACAGTATTCGATTATCAATTGAGTATGTATTCTTGCAAACAAATTGCAAACATATGCAAACGTTGTACTTTAAATGCGTATACACGAGTGTATTCGTGAGTTCTTTATAAACGCGATTTAAACGGTACGGTAGTGCGCGAGACTCTGCATTTCTTCGTGCAGTGCCAATTGAGCATGTCATGTCTGGAATAAAAAAACTTTTTTATTATCGTTTGCGCAGAATCCAAGTACAGGAATTTGTGCGCCGCTTGCGAGAGGCCGGCCAGCTGTTACAACACCGACAAGTACTATGGACGAGAGGGTGCCCTGATGTGCCTCACCGACGGCATGGGCGACGTCGCTTGGGTCAGACTGGGCGATGCAAAAGTGCATTTTAAGGTAACTGATCAAGCTAGTCTACGGTCAGCTCGAGCGCGGTGTCCTTGAGACAACGAGCGAAGAACTCGGGAAGAACCGATGCCGCTAACAAGTCGATCTGAGAGATTATAATTAAAACTGTGATGTGACTCACGATACTAACGTACTACCGACGTTGACGCAGGCTCAGATGATCGACATGCAAGATTACAAGTTTCTATGCCCGGACGGTACCACGAAACCGCTCAACTTCAATGAACCCTGCGTCTGGATAGCGAAACCGTGGCCAGTAATCGTAGCTAGACCGTAAGAGCTTTACGCCTCTCATTCACGTCGAAATTGTGTACAATTGAAAGATTAAAAAAATCCTTTCCCTTTTCGTTAGATCGAACGCCGCGAATATCGCCCACATGATGAACTCGATGATGAACAGAACAATGGATTGGGAATCGAGAGTCTTGCAACTGATGGAGAACTATTACATCTCCTCGACTGACGTGAAAGAGCTGCAAACGCCCGACGATTACTTACATCGATGTAATGTATATATTGTACATCACGGCTATTTTATCTTCGACTTTTTGCGATAAGACACTGCAACGAGCTCCTCTAGCGGAAAACATTTCTATAAATAACTACAAAAATTGACTTAAAATAGAAATTTGTAGATATTTTTATCTTTTTTGACATTTTTATTTTTATCCTCGTTGAAACATGTATTTTTTTGTAAAAATATCTACGAAATAGTACCACAAATTACAATGTTCTCATATCAAGAAATTATTGCAGATAGTAATTTCATGAAAACGTATAATTTTGTAAAAATTAGTACAAAACTTTACTAGTTTACAAAATTTGAGAAACAATCAAATCTTAAAGAATTAAAGCATCTGCTTACTTGTAGAATATTACCAAAATGAACAAAAGTGTTTCAATTCTAGCATTTTCATGTTGATTTTTATAACACTTTTTAAATTTACGTAGAAATTTTCTTAGATTCTGGCAGTTATATTTTATAGTTTTGTAGAATTATTTCCGGCAGGGTCGTGTAGTGATTATTAGTGTTAAAAATATGCTTTTTACTAATCACTGAACGACTATAGTAATTGTCAGTTTCACGAACTTTCCTTCCACCAAATAATATCTATTATGACAACGATATAATTTTTTTAAATACAGTTTCTTGGACTATATGAACATTTTAATATGTGCAATTTGTTAAATTAAGAATCCGTTAATAACTTAATTGTTAATCATTAACTCCACAAATTTTAATTAAGATTGGATGAAGTTCAGTAGAATAAACACTGGAAATTAGAATCAGATAGAGAAGAGTTCTCTACAAAGAAAGCACCTAGAAATGTTAAGAAAATTAATATATTAGATGATATTTCCATGTCCTAACAACATGGATGTTCTGGTTAAAGATCCAAACTTCCTGAGCGCCAACGTCCGAACGGGTTGTCAGCCGTCGAGAGACGTACGTTGGTGTCTGGTATCTAATCTCGAGAAGCGTAAGTGCAGCTGGCTAAGAGACGCTTCCGTCATCTATGGCGTGGAACCGTTGATCTCCTGTCAGCAGGAAGATAGCAGAGAAGCGTGCGTGGAGGGTATACGAAACCAAACGATGGACATCTTCTTGGCGCGGCCCGAGGAGCTTCTCAAGGACAGAATGTAGGCGAAGCGAGCGGGCCAGTGTAGACGCAAATGAAAATTGGGAGTATTTTCTTGGGCATTTCTCAAGTCGTTTCTTTCCCGCAGGTTGGGCCTGAAGCCTATCATCCACGCGATGGCGAACAACCGGCAAGAATTGAACAGAATCGCGGCGGTTGTCAAGAGGAATTCCAGATTCAGAGTTTTGAAGGATCTCAAAGGCGCCAAGGCGGCCTTCACGGGCTACAGAAGCATCGGTGCGATTATCTTGGCCCAATGCAGATGGGATATAATTTCGTATTCCGCAGTTTCAGAATTGCATTTAATCCATTTCTGATTTCTCGATCCCAGGTTGGAACGCTTTTGTCACGTTAATGAGGAACGAACTTGACAGTAATTGGGACTGCTCAGACGCGCAGGCTATTTCGAAATTCTTCAAAGACAGTTGTGTCCTCGGTTGGAACAACAAAGATAATAGTAACGAGCTGCCGGCTAATTTACACTCGTTATGCAAGGAAGGTGAGATATGGAGGACAGATTCAGTCGCGATTAAGCTGTAATTATAAAGATATACACTGCACAATGTACAAACGTAGTGGACGTATCGTTTAAATTCTCATGACTTGCTGAGAACAATGTGCGCGAGAGAAATATAAAGCGCGAGGGAAACGAGTAACCGAATAATCGAAACTGCGATCACTTTGCAGATGCGGAGCAGGCGGACGACGATCTAAGCGCATTTAACTACTTGGCCTCTGGTATCGTCGACGTTGCCTTCGTCAATCTGAGGATCATAGAAAACAAAACGGAAGCCCGTGAGTTGCGCTGATTGTCCCGAGCTTAAGTGGCTTCTCTGTATTATTTCTGCATGTTACCTAATGTCTTTCGATGTTGCAGGTGATTTTTATTACGAGAAGATTGATAGTAAGAATGTAAATCGATTACCTAAGTACAGAGTATTAGGTCCAACCTTGGCGGAAGCTATAAAAAGAGTTTCATATTTGCTCGCTTGGACGTCCCTCGGCTCGGTAAAACTCTTCTTTTTAGCGTGATTTAGCAAATGTTATAGATACGCAAATATGGATTCTCACTGCTCATTTGTTCGTTACATGGACCTTTTTGCCTTGGCAGATAATGGCGCACGAGAATATCACGGATCTGAGACGCCAGGAAATCTACACGATGCTGCTCGAAATGGACCAAATATTTGGAAGAAAGTTCAACGGACAGGCCCCCACGTTCTTGTTGTACGGGCCGTACGAAGATAATCACGGTGTTATCTTCCCTGTAAGTTGAATGCTGAGCAGTTTTGTCGCGAAAACAAGATGTACTCAATGAAGAACCCTTACAGAAATGTAACAACTGGGAACGAAAAAAGCACTGAACAATTACTAGAGTTCAGTAATTGAATTATTAGAAATTACTGATGTACAGTAATTATTTCGCTTACATTTCTATAAGGGAACCCAGCGAGTTAAAATCGAAGTGAAGACACCGTCGTAAAAAAATCGGTAGAATTGTACAAAATTTCTTTGCCAACACCTCCGTGTGGACATGACAAAAGGAAGGAAGAAGAGAGTCAAAATTATGCTTTGGGTTTGAAGAATACAAATCAGTTGGGGCGCGAAAGGTATTTCGGTCAAAGGTGTCGGTTAAATTTGCCCCGGTTGAAATCGACAACGGTTCTCCGGCGAATCGCGCCTTTCGCCTAATTCGAGTCTTCGCACATGCAGTCCAACGGTCGCTCGAGAACGTCGATCTTCTCCGAGAACTTCTCGTTCCTCGTGCATCCATAGTACACGTAACCCCTGTCGCAATACGCCCATGGAAAATGCGGGCACTTGAAGGACACCGACGGCGTCCCGTCGCCGGTCAACGCGATCACGCCCACGTCGGACTCCGGCGGAAGTGCTCCTCCGGTTTCTCCCTCGAAGTCGTTCAGCACCGCGGCGACCGCCTCGTCGATCAACGTCGTCTTTTGCCGCAGCCGCCGCAGTATCCGTCGGGCTGGCGCGTGCTTGTATATAGCTTTATCGCAACCCGAGACGGACACGCAGCCGCCTTTGTTTACGTAAATACCGCAGCCGATCGCCGTCCCGGTCGCACTCACGATTCCGTGCAGCTTCCCCGGTTCCCCAGCCGTCGAGGTTCCGCTGGCGAGACGCTTCTTCCGGTCGTACGCCACTGCTCCGACCGCGCCGAGCTAAGTGTAGTTTTCTTTGGAAGTATTACGAATATTCGTACAGTAATCATAATGTAAAAATACTTTAATTACGTAAAATATTCGGAGCGAATGTATATTAGATTCTCCCAAGGGAAGGAAAGGGAGAGAAAAGAGAGAATCAGAGTTTGTATTTAAAAAACACTTCTCTCTTCTATCTCTTCGTCTCTCATCCATAAGCTATAGGCTTGGACGGGCAATAAAGTCTAAGGTGATGTGTAAAGCTTCAAATTAGATACGGGCGTAAGATTTGAATTTAGGAAGTCGTAGAAATTGGAGAAAAGTTCATCAACCTGTATAAAATCAGGCTCGACCTCCAAGGACTCGTCCAATCCGGCGACATCGAGGATAGCGCCTTCTTCCTTGTCTCCGAGTCTCTCAATCACACATCCCGGTATGCATTCCTTCTTTTCGAATTGTTTGTCCCCGTCTTGTTGTTCTCGCGTGTTTCTCGTATCTTGCGTTTCTTCATCAGTATCGCGATTAATATTTTTAAAAAGTTCGCGTTTTTTCCCACGTTTGCTATCTTTTACCGTTATTCCCTTCTTCGTGCAACGACGTTTTCGAGTCAGAGGTGACGATCAACTGGCCGGGTGGTAAAATAGGAACATCCGACTCCAAGGCGAATTTTTGCGCTCCAGCCTCGACTATCAGCACATGCTCCGTTTGCTGCAGGACTAATTTGGCTGCAAAAGTTTCAGGTGCTTTTGAGCAAGTTAGATACCCGACTTCTGCAACACGAGCGTTTTGTTAAAAAGGGTATGAACCTAACGTTATGGGATGAGCTATGTTACGAACGGCACCTACGCAACCCGCGCGGAGATCATTCGTCATTATCGCAGCATCCATCACAACCTCCCCGTTGGCATCCAAGGAGCCTCCGTACGCACAATTGAAGTACTTCTTGCTCTCCATGTGACAAATCGCACGCTCGACCGCGTCCAGTGAACAGCGTCCTTCGACCAGGTCGCGATACGCCGCTATTGCGGCCTTCTGCACCTGCATCCATTCATTAAACATCAATCTCATCATTTTACAAACAACGATATCTTTATCGGATTAAACGAAGAAAAAAAAGATTTTCTTAATCTTCCCTGAACGGTGTAATCTCTAAGTATTCAAAGGACCAAATAAGAGGAGCAGTGGATTGTCATATAGACAGCCACGTTTCTTGCGCTCTGCAAAATTGCTTTTCCAGAGTCGTGTTGTTCGATATAAATAATGAATAATTTAACCTCGTCGAGCATAAATTTCCGTGCGTCTCGGGGAATTCTCCCGGCACCTCCGTGAACAATGACAATCGGATCCACCCGCTTCTTCTTCTTTTTCCTGAGTCGCGTCTCGGCGCTGATTCTGGCCAAGAGCTCACTGATCCAGGAACAGTAGTCGCACATTACGTTAGTAACGCGTGTTTTAGCATTTTTAGGCTTTTCGTTGCCTCTTAACATTTTTTCTCGCGAAAATTTTCCGAAGCGTCCGTTAAATGACAGCCACGTAAGACGACTGGCGAATTTTGCTCGAAGTGGAATCGCGCAAAAGTGTATCTTTCTTTACGCATACGTCATCTGCGTGTAAAAAAATTGCGACGATGCTATTTTATTTTCGACAGAAGAAGATGCAGTATTAACGAATAGTATAGTTGTAGACGCGTTTAAATACGATAATACATAAAAGTTTCATTGTCGCAGGATGGCACACGCTACTTGGAGTTATACGGCCATCAAACGTTAAAGGGACGCAATTACGACGAAATCGTGGAAGAGTTTGTGAAGCAAGAAGTTTGCAGTGCCGCTAATGCACGGATACCTCATCTGCCAAAAACTCATTTTCTATTCATAATTATAGTCTTCGTTCTAGACCGATTATTAAACTGCTGACGATGGATGGATAGATTATGCTCTCTATGAAAGTACAACGCCATGCAATATATTATATAAGATAGTTCGTTATTGGTGATGCAATAATTTTGCATAAAAGAATAAATAATAAGTTTTCTCTTTTAAGCGAAATTTCACTTTCAAGAAAATTCAAATCACTTTCAAGAAAATTTGGAGATTGTAAAATTAATAGCAATGCATAATCCTATTTTCATAATTTTGATATAGGCTTTAAATATTTATCTAAGTTATTAGGATAATAACTTGCACAAATATTTTTTACAATATTTGTGTAAAATATATTCACATATGTTACATACTATTTTATTTTTATATACATATATTTATATATAGCGCATGTACATATATGTATACATGCAATGCTATATATACATATATGCATACATAACATTATATATATTGGATATGTATGTGTATATATATTTACACATAATATATTTATATATGTTACATACATATGTGTACTATTTATATATGTATGTACCTCGCCCAATACTACAATAATTTTGTTACATTTGAATAGGATATTCAATTTCTTTTATTTGTATAATTGTTCTAATTATGAATGATTATGTAGACAGATAATTTTAAAATTATCTAAGCTCGATGACAAGAAACAAACAATTGTTTAATAACAGATCTCCAAGCAAAGTTATCGCAAGTTGTTGGACAATTACCTTCAACGAGTATCGAACGATTGAACAATTGATTATTAAATAGAAAGCTTTTTTATGAAAAACTTTTTCTACATTTATTTTTAAGATGAAATCATATCGCATTTGTATCATCAATAATGGACTCACAGTTGTATCATCAATAATGGATCAAAAAGCACGATGTCAAATCGGCTAGGCTATGTATAAAATTCTATGTATATTTCGATTGTACAATCTTATCATTTGTCCTTATTTATATAATATATTTTATACGATACACTATATAAATGTATGTATAAATACGAATACTATTTTCATCTACATTTAATAGTACTTATTTTTCCCGGACGGAATATTGTGATATGTATATAATAGAAAGATACGAATAAGTGCGCAAAAATCTCATTCGTTTTACATATAACGCGCTTGTAAGATATATATATAAAATTATAACAGTTTAAACGTACTTGATTGCACATACGAAAAATTCAATATTATTCGTAGTTATCAAATGTGATTAGCACTACGTCTTACTTTGCAAATCTTACAAATTGGATTACGTGAAATTGTATATCCCTTGTTGATTAAAATTGTTCAATTGTGTTAAAGTATTACTTTCTATGACTAGTATCTCAACGATCTGTTGTAACCATTGCAAGTGCACGTATACACTGGAAGTATAAAATCTGTGAATCTTTCTACATTCAAGTCCTTGAAATAACAATTCTAGAAATACTATTAGTGCCTGTATTCTCTTTTTGACGATATATCTATCATATATCTATCTCCGTTTACGATACCGAAACGTATCGCGAAAATAGGTTCAGTTCTTGTAAAAATTCCTCTTTCTTTGAATAGCAGAAACCTCTTCTGAGTTTGTGTACCTCCACATTGCCAGATTCCGTACCAAGGGCCTAACAAATACATTTAAAACTGTAAAACATGTCTAAAAATCTCCACCGAGTCGTAAAATGCTTGCGCTTTTAAACTTACCAGGTATTGATTTGTCATATCTTGATCTATTATGCAAGGAGACAGCTGCATGCTGCTTATCTTCCCCAACTTTTTCATAGATAACGTATGTATAGGACAAATATCACTCTGACTCAAATCCCACACGTGAATTCTGTTAAATTTATAATTTATATTATACTTTTTGTAATTGCGCCTTCTTATCTCTTCATTTGCAATTCTATTCACTTCGTGAGAAGTGTTCTTACCGAGAATTATTATCCAAAGTATATATAGTCAACGGTTTCGTTTTCGACCATTGCAAAATTTTAATCTCGTCCGTATACTGCTCGTTTTTCAGTTGTACGATCGGTCTCTCCACATTTAAGTAATGAAGTCGAATCGTTCCGTCATCACAGCCGACCTAATAAACATAAAAGTCGATAGACTTCAAAATAAGATTTTATTTTATTTAGAAGCTAAACTGTGAAGGAAGTCTTACCCAGAAAAAGGATCGATCGAAAGGACAAACGTCGATGCAAGTTGAAGCACCGCATTCACCTGTAATATTTAATCGAGGTAATTTGATGTTATTATGATGTGTATATTTAATGCATACGTGGAAGTGATAAGACTATTTCCACTCACTTATTTCAGCTGGTTTATATGTTAATGGGTTAGTTCTGTTACCAATGTAAGTAGCATGCAAGACATCAGTACTGTTAGTCGCAATATAAATGTTATTTGTATTCGCACTGTCCACATGCATATCGACAAACGTGTTCATTCTATAAAAAAACGAACAGTTAAGGAGATTTTAAACATGAATAAAAATCGAGCCTGTCAAGAAAGCAATTTTTAACCCTATTATATTTACATTTCTGCGTCTTTCTTCGTCAGAAACGTTTTCTGATTATTTACGAGTCTTATGTCGCCCCAGTGAGAGAGTCCCAGATCGTCGATATTTATACCCATGTTATGCACAATACTCCATATTATGAGACAACCATCCTCGTCTAAACTACATATCTGTGAAATTCGTTCAAAGATAAATGTGGATGAGTAGGACTAAATTTTAATGAGTCAATGTTAACGCTGTAATAGTGGCAACCTGAATGGGAACGAATTTGTTGCTCCTTTCTTTCGCAGAGGCAGTCTCGATCTTGGACAGCACGCGTATCGCAACAACTTGCGACGTATGCGCGTCTAGCTCCACCGTTGTCGCGTAAGTAGGCGTTCTGATTACCCAATCAAACTCGTTAGCTTTATCCGTAATCTTCTGATGCCACATCTCGTCCTCCTTGAGGTCCCAGAGACTTAGCGACCTAGTTTCAATATTTCATTTTTAGATTCATGCAAAAGAACAGCGAAAGCTTTAAAGACTCAAGTCGCATACCCATCCTCGAGCCCGGCGAACACCGTGTTGCAATTCGTCAAGTGAAAGCAACAGGCGGTAATAGGGCATTGCGAGTAGAATAATTTCTTCGGCATCGATGGTTCGGAAATATTCCAAACGCATCCGATACAACAGTCGGTGATGTAATCTTGCTTGCTTATAGTTTCGATCTCCTGTTTAATATGACGAACCGATTAATTAAGATTCACTTTGTAACCACATTAAATGGTATAATAGTACGTACCTCTTCTACTGGCGCGTGTATAGTAAGCAGAACTTTATTTAAGGCGTTCGAATAATGTATTATCTTAACCGGCCTGGTAGCTAAAAATGTTACTGTATCTACAGAGAGCTTCACGAAACCATCGCTGAACGATAACTCGTCTACGTCGCTTTGAAAAACGGTGCCACCGTGTTCTCTCTCTTCTAGCAACGACAATACAACCGCGCTCGCGCGATTAAGGAAATCGTTTAACCGTAACACGTCGTACGACGGACGTGACGAAAAACTTATATCGTCCGTTTCGTCCAAATCGTTTCCGACGCCGATTTGTTCCTGCAAATTTTCAGAAAGTTCAGAATTGTATATTTGACAATATTCTACAGGCACACACAAATGGCGCATGAACTATTACCATTCTAAATAAGTTTATATCTTGTTTATCACGCAAGCTTTTTCTACAAGTTATAGGAAACTGCGTCCACTTGTTCTTACAAGGCACCTCGTCCGTTTGTATCTCAATGTCCATGTTGTCGTCGCCGGTTTGCGTAAACACCTGCAAGACGTACAATCAACAATCGTCCACGCTACAATTTGTCACAACGCGTCACGTACTTGTTGCGTATTTAATTTCCCGTAATTTCTTATGAATTCGTCATAAGGTATGGGGTTGCACTCCAGTAACGACCATTCCATAAAGTCCAGCTTTATCATCTCTAACAATTCCTCGCCTCTGCTCCGAGGCTTTCGCGTGTTCTGCGAGAGACAAGGCAACGTGTTGATTTACATATATAATATTTAATATTGTAACGCACTCTTGGAGAAATGGATTACCTCTTCACGTTGCTCCTCTTTCGGCTTACGAAAATCGATAAGCGGCGCCTGCGACAGCGGCGGAGATCTGGTAAAGTCCCCAGAACGGCTGTCCTCGAAGCCCTCGTCGGCGGACGACGGCAAAGATTTACTCTCCGCCGGTCTGTCGTCGCTGCTCGAAATAAATGCGAACACATTAAATTACCTACGTATTTTATATTTTATTTATTTATTTCTCAAAACGAACCGCTTTGTAGAAAAGCGTGCGGAGTAAAAGCGTAACAATCACATGTGACAAGAAACGTGCAAGTAATGACAAGTCCGCAAATGAATATCCACTTATTCGTCCTGATACTTGATCTTAGTTATCACAAACCTAAACGTCTTGCCAACTGGCTCCCTTAATTCGGGCAACGGCGGCGTGTTGGACTGCGTTAGGAGCACAGCTTCTACTCGCGCCGCCCGTTTTCTCGCTTCCGCGAGATCGTAATGCCCCGAATCGAGCATACGTTCCTCTTCGACCTTCGCGTGTTCCGTGCGCTTCTGCAAGAATAATTTCCGTGAGAATTACCTCGTCTCGACACGTAGATAAGTATATATACAATACCTTCTCTCGGGCTTGCAATTCGATAGGCTCCAAGTGGGAACTACTTCCGCTATCTGATTTTTCGCTAATCGAGGGAGTGTCGCTGTCGGTGCATTCTTGAAAGTCTGACTCGTAATCCTGAAAGATGACGCAAAGTGGTAGAACCGCGCGTGCGTCTTCATCTAAAGTTTTCTCCCCTTCTCACCCTCCACTTTCTTACCTCAAAATCGTCCTCGTAGTCGTAGTCCGCCTCGTCCGCTTGCGTACGAGAACGGCCTTCTTTCCTTTGCTCCGCCTTTTCCACGACATCCGGTCTCCTCACGGCGCTGTGCAGCATCCTAACTTCGCTCGGGCTCAGCGTCCTCGATTTCCTACGTTCTCTGGACGATATTCGCGGCTTGGTTCGGTCGGGCGCAGGGAACTCTTGCAACTTCTCCTTGTCCCTCGACGCCAGTTGCGCAATCTTCTCGTTAGGTTTAACACCGAGCTTACTCGCGGTCGACTTCGGCACGTATATCGTACTCTGACCTCTCTTCTCTGAATATCCCGCTGGTTCTCTGGACTTCCTCTTTTTGACCGTACTGTCGTCGCTCGATTTCGGGGCATTTCCGGATCGTGCCTTAGTGGTTGTACTATTGCTCTTCGTTAACGAGCGACCGGACGAGGCATTGAGCAGACTAGATTTCGATGTCGAGGACACTTGCTTGACAGTCTTAACTTGAGAGGACCCGACGGACGGCTTAACGGTGCTTCTGGTCGGCTGCGTCCTCGTCGAGGTATTCTGTAACGCTTTCGACGCTCTGTCTCCGTCTCCTCTGTGCTCGACAGCCTGAGACTTCCTCAGGGAATTGGAATCCGACTTCTTCGGCGTTTCTGCGTTGCCCTCGTTGCTCGACGGCGTTTTCGGTTTCGACCGCGCGCGCGTCTTGACGTCATCTTTAGGTCCAATTTTCTTAGTTGCTCCCTAAGGAGATGTAAATTATTATTGATACCAAACTTACACTTGACAAAGTGTTGCGTTAAAATTAACAGGCGTACACTAGACTGGCAGGACGCAGTTGCGCGACTACCGAGCGGCATCTGATACCGGCAATTAAATTATGGCGCTCGCGTTAAACGTATTCAATATTTAACTAAAGTAAACTCAAATAAATGTTAACCAACTGATGAAGTGGGGAAATGAACAAAATTGATCGAGGCGGCGCTTATAAAAGGAGAGATTTTTATTCCGGCCATTTGTCACGGGTGTTTAATACTAGTCTTAGAGCACGGAACAATTTGTCGTGCGGGCAACGTTAGAGTTTCTAGAGCCAGTTTCTTACGTCATCGAGGCTCATGAATAAAACATGCCGGAACTGAGTCAGGTCCCTCGGTTCAATTAATAAAGAATGCGCCGTAACGAGATGTTTTTTTATAACGATAATGTATTATACGGAATCGATACTATCGCTTTCTCTGTCTATGCACCGTTATCGTAACGTTCTTCGCGTAGCTACGCGGGGAAATGTCAATAGTTTCGAGGTTGACGCGGGCGAAGCGGCGGAGCCTTGACCGTGCAAAATGTCAAATTCGCGCGTTAATTGACAGCGGACGGCGAGGGACGGGATTCTCGCGGGGCCGCGCTCCCGCGATCGGGAGCGTGGAACGACGCGGCGGCCGAGCCAGCACGTTAAAAACCGTCGAGACACTCACTTTATTGGACATTATGCCGCTAATTGATCGGCGTTGACAGTTGCAGACGATCCTAGGGCGACCATGATGTAAACTAACGCGACGACAGCGCCTCCGGCGGATTTTCTCGCAACAGCCGACTAAAGACCGCGCTTGTGCCGACGGTCGATAAAGGCGGTCCCTATTTTACCGACCGCGGGTAAACTGCCGCGCTCGATTAATCTTCTTTTACCGGCTAAATTATAAATGGACGAAACGGAAAGAAGGGATAGGTCTTCGCGATTTCTCGCGTCTTTTATTTTCTCCCCCCCCCCCCCCCCCTTCTCGCTCTGTCCGCGCGCAATGGTTGCGGGTGCGAGAAGTGAATGCAGAAACAAAATACCATTCCACGTCGTTGATCCAAATTTCGGTACGTCCTGTGTCTTTTATCAATTAGATCGCTCCTGAAATTGAGACGATATCTCGTTACTTCGCCATGGCCGAGGAGCGAGGATCTGGTCATCCGCGGGGCGTGCGCCGACATCGCGCTGCGTTCGATCGTGCATGCAGGTCGAGTTACGCGTCAATCTTGACACGAAAATATCAGATTGATCAAAAAGCTCATTCGTTTCTTTCCTACGAGGCGCCGCGCCCGGGGGGGGGGGGCGTTAAAGTAAAATGACGCGCGGAATCTCGAGGCGGCGATTATTCATCGCCTTTGATTCGCGTTACTTATTCCCAATTAGGTCAGCCGTGTCGGCGCGATACGGCGAGCAGCGTTTCCCGCGGGAGGACATCGAAAGGTCAACGGTGCACGATCTGGTGTACAGATATCTGGGCAAGTGCGCCGTCACGGACATGAAGTCGAGGCACCGAAACTGCGCGTGTAACAAATTCAACAGGCAACACGCGAGAAGGAAAGACATCCACGGGCGCGACGTGGCGGCAATTCGCGCGAGTCTCGAGGAGGAGGTCGGCGGTGACGATTGCGAGCGGTCGCGATCACGCGCGGGTAAAGGTCGGCCTTCTGAGCGCGCGTCTAGGAGCTCGTCGAGGGAAGGCGTCGCTGATTACGCGAAAGCCGTTCGCGATGGTACGTATGAGTTCGCTTGAAAATGTCGAGCCGTTATGACTGAAATGATGAACTCACCGACTTGTATTTTGAACCCTCTTTTTCTCGATAAAAGCGCCTCTAAAAGCGACTTGTAGCCAATCGGAAAGCTTAGACTTTTAGAGCGGCTAGTACCTTTTGAATCCAAATTGATTCTGTAGATTTCATTGTAAAAGATTCTGTCAAAGTTTGAGGCGTCTAGGAACTCTGTACTGAGAAAAATTAAATAGCAAATAATTACATGAAGTTTATGGAAAATAGGAGACACACGGAAAAAACAATGTAGCTGCTAAAACTTAGCAAAATAGGGATAGCTAATATTTTAGTTGTGATAGTTCAATATTTGGCTACTGTGCCTATTGTATTAGGTGCGACAGCAAACGGTTTGCTGTCGTAGCAAAATATTGAGCTATCACAACTAAAAATATTAGCTGTCCCTATTTTGCTAAGTTTTAGCTACAGCAGCTACATTGTTCTTTCTGTGCAATTATTATTGTGTATCAATGAAAAATGATGAGAAAATGTAAAAATTTTGCAGGCAGAGCGAGTAAGACTAATTATTCATACCAATTTAGCCTCGTTAGGAGACTTTTGTTTTATTTAATAATGTTTACAAGAAGTTTATCATTTCAGTCGTAACGGCACACCGTCTTTAGATGTGCCGAAATCGTTAAATCTAGTCCTCTGGAATCTCTGGGAGGAAGAAATAAACAACGTCAGTGTTTTGCGACATGCCTCGGTTGTCAAATTGGTGAGACACCCGCCTAGAGTGTAGGGAAGTCCAGGTTCAAACCCTGGCTGAGGTAACATCTTTCGCAATAAATTTTCTGTATTATTAAAAATGCCAGATATGTTCAAGAAAGCGCTGACGTTGTTGATTACTGCTGGCGATATTGGAGAATCTTATTAGGAAGAAATAAGGTAGGGGCGAGTAAAGTTGATCGTTAACACGCTATTCGATTCCTCCCCCTCAGGACGAAAACGCGCGAAATTCTACGTGCGGGAAGCGCTTTCGTACGGTCTGCAATCCGGATTGTTAATCCCGACCGATCGACGAGGAAGCGTCCTGCGCATCTCGCGACAGCTGGGAGCCATTCCTGTCGAGAAATGCTAGAGAGGATCGGTCAAGTATACTGAGGGTTCTGCGCGAGATCAACAGATTTGATAAATTTAATCGTTGAAGGCACGACGCAATACGGAATTGTAACATTTGTAATGATAATTTTGTAGTCCCACGCTAAATCATTTGTTAAATATTAACAATCATAATATTAATTTAAAATGATAAAGCCGACGATAAAAAAAAGATACTATATTTTCATTTATATCAATTTTAATTCCAAAGTACGTCATTTACTGCGTACCGCACTTATTGTTAACTCGTAAATGGCATTTAACGAATTTAACTGTTACTAAGACGACAACAGACAATTCTCGTATTGGACAAAAAATGTACAGTGTTTATTTCAAATTTAATATCTCTTAAGATTTGGAACAACAAAATCTTGGAGTTATCTATTCTATTTCGAATTAACTATACTTCCACGCCGTATGGAAGTTAATTGTCAAGCCGAGGGAAATAATAACCGGGCTCATTTTCTCAAACTTTGAAAAATGTGTTTGCCCAGTCCTGAACTTCCGACTCGCGTTATCGCCCCCTCCGTCGCTCGCACTCCTCACGACATCGCCGGATCCACCTCCTCAGCTCGTGTTCGCGTGCCGCGGCTCTCCCGCGGGGAACTCGCGCCCTCAGTTCTTCGTACGCGCTATCTTCCTCCGCGTCCTCGTCTTCTTCCCGCGCCCTCTCTCCTTCATCCTCTTCGTCCTCTTCGTCATCTTTCATTTTTTTCTCCTCGTCTTCCTCGTCCTCCTCCACATCGTTGCGACGACGTCCATCCCGCTGGTTCCTAACGACGGCGCGACCGGGAGATCGGATCCTCAAATGTTCATCTGGAGCAACGGCTTCGGCGTCGCAAGTGCAATCCACATCCTCTTCGGTCGCGGTCTCGTCATCTCCCTCATCCGCGCGATGCGCCCTTCGACCTTCAACTCGCGCTTTCTTCGTATTTCTGCCCGCACCTGCAGGCGACGGAGTCCTCGTGAATCCTCTGGAAGGCCCGGGGATCGGTTCCTCGTAAGCGTCACGTTGCTCCGTCCCGATCGCGTCGCGCCGTCGACGATCGCCTCGGACGCCCGAGACGTCGGCATTCAACTCCCTGCCGCGACGGTCCGCGGTATCCCTTTCGTTGGCTGATATTCTGGTCGAGTGAAGACTCGGACCCAAGTCCCCAAGGCGATCGATCGTAGCATCCCTCGCATCATCGACGCACTCGTGTCTTCTCGAGTCGTCTGTCGCGCGATATCTGCAATCCCAGGAACAGCCGTTCCGCTTTGTCCGGATTGCAACGGGCCCGATCAAGTGATACTCGTTGCTCAGTAATTCCATGACATATCTGTTAGAACGGCGCGACTGTTGTGAAAAGGTCTTTTTAAAAAGATTAAGGACAGGTTGTTCCAACCTCTTGGTATAAAGATAACTAATAGTTAAATTGACCGATCTTTGAAGTCCGACCCCGGCAGAAGACTCGATCTCAAGGATCTCGCGATTCCGAGGTTTCAGAAGAGATCGACCTTCCGAAGAAAAGCGTTCACGCAAACGGCAACAAAATAATGTAAAAGTGCCATTTCAATTAATATACTATTGTAACACGTTATACATACGTTTGTCTTGGTTTGTCCTTTAAATTAAAAGGAGATAGACATATAATTTAACTATTAATTTACCAAAAGGTTGAAAAAACCGGCCCTAAATGGGAGAAAAGAAACTCTCCTGGACACAGCAATAAGAAACATCCGCAATGTCAATTTGTTACTAAGCATTATTCCTGAAACTAAGGAGCGCACCGTTTATCGGGATACCAAGCGAAAAGGGAGGAAAGAATTAAAATGTTCCAGCAAACACTAAAGTAATAGTTTTACTTGGTGTTTGCTGAGGTCGGATCAGAAACGTATAACTCTCGGTGACATTTTGCGCCGCGGTTTTGCGAGCCAATTGGATGTACGTCGTATTCTACGATATTTTCAAGCGCTAGAAACAATTTTGTATATTGTACGCGTGGTATTGTAGCATCATATCTGCCGTATGTAATTGGCATCGAAATATCGATCGATAGATGCATCGCCTGGGAACAAGATAAGTCGCGCAATACTAAGCAGTTGCCTCGAACAAACAATTGCGTCTTCCCGAGAGAAAGGGAGGAGTTATTTATTAAACGCTTTTGGATAGGATTTTCTCAAACGCTACATATCTGCATTCTTTCGGCGTGCGTTATAAAACAGCATAAATAACAAAAATAGAAAGGAAAATTATTCACTTAGATAACAAGTTGATCCTAGTTTCGTCATTCGACGTCAAAAGGATGTTTCCGATGATATCTCGAGGTCGAAATGGCGACTAATATAGTCAACTTGCTATCTGGGTGGCACGTGAGAATTGTACGAGTGACGTGTGCACGAGAGACGCGTTGTATCCTTCGACGAAACGACGCCGGGAACTGACCCTTGAGAACAGACCTGTCTCAGCGCGGTCCGCACCTGAGCGTAAAGGTCGCCGTCGTGACGATAATGCGACCGGATGTAGTCGGCGATCTCCTCGGCGGTGGACGTGGACGGCTGGTCCACGTCGCGCTGCAGCGAGCGCATCGCCTCCATCACGCGCAGCGAGAACCTCGACGAGTTCTCCACGCCGCATTTGCATCGCCCGGGCGTCTGCAGCGAGGGGAATTCTCCCGAATCCCGCGCCTCCTTCGTTGAAATCGAGCGCAATCAATCGTGATTCCATTCTAGCGTCGCCAAAAATTACGACGACATTGCGAAACTATTTTCGACGATAGAGCGATATCTTTTTATGCAAAAAGGAGAGATTTAAGGAACTCTGTGATATAATCTTTTCCGTTGGCTTTGCTTTAAAAATCGATTAAAATAATTCAAACGAACGAGAACGCCTTTAGGTCCAAGCAAGATGTTGGTAGCCAATATAATAATATAAAATGAATTCACATTTTAGATCATTATTGGCTACCAACATCTTGCTTGGACCTAAAGGCGTTCTCGTTTGTTTGATTTATATTGTAATGGTCCTATTTAACTCTATTTGTTTAAAATAATTGTCGCGCGAATAATGAGAAGTATTCTTTGCGTGTATAGCTTTACTTCTTTAGGCGTATCATTTAGTTCCTCGCAACCTCCTGGACAAGTCTCGGTTTGTGTCACGCCGAAATCGTTTTCCTGATCTTCATCTAGAATTTCGTCGACTATCGCGTTGACCTTTTTCTCGGTTTGTCTCATCTCATCATCGATTTTATCTATCCGAAAGGTTAGTGACGAATGTCATCGAGACACGCGCACATGTCTGAAAATCGTTCTAGATAAGTTTCGAACTTCTTGAAGCCCGACCCCGGCAGAAGACTCGATCTCGAGGATCGCGCGAGTCTGAATTTCAGAAGACATCGACCTTGGAGTGAAATCTGTTTAGTGGGAAAATTGATTGCCAGGTCGTGTAATCGTCGCGAAAAAAGATTTGTGATTGAATGTGGACGTTGAAAACCTACTAGCTCATAATAGAGGATTTTCCTCTACGTATCGTATGATATATAATTAAGTGCCGATAACATTTGAATTTGTAAACTGCGTATGTTGAAATTAAGAACTTTACGCCAATTGAGACCCACGATTCCGCGTGTAACCGGTGCGCAGCTGGCGCGTTAACGCGGAAGAATTTCAATAAAGCGGACTCGCGGTCCCGGTATCGATTCGCAATCGAAATAACGCGACGGGAAGGTGCCTACGGTCAACGGGCGTGAATAGGTGTGTAGAGAGAAAAAAGTAGGAGGAGCGGCCGACCTGGCATGGGCGGTCGGGACGGAGTGCATGCGTGAAATATTAATAGAGCGGGTACAGTCGGCGAACGTGACTGCGCTGCCGCACGCGGAAGTGCTTTTGCGCGTCGTCGGTGTACCGCGATACGCCGCGTTCGGCTTCCTCGGCTTCGAGTCGAGGCCAGGTACTCGCGTTTGTGTGTACAAATTGCCGGTGTAAAATCGCCGTTCCGCGAAAGACACGCAGCGCAATAGGCGATAGGCACGTCGACGCGATATGGATCCGATAATAATAAAATTGTACACGCCATCGCTGTTATTTTTTGTTTCAGAATAATCGCAATCTCCCCCTCTCTGCCTTGGGACAACAGTAAAAGGATCTCATTCATAGTTCCCGTCGATTTGCCTGTGTTGACGTACCTCGCGGAGGATCCTCGCGGAGAACCGAAAGAGCGTGAGATAACTGGAGAGCGAAAGAGATGACGTTTCATCATGAATCGATGCTGCTACAAATAATGTTGTCTTTTATGATTTCTCGATCTCGTAGAAATCATCGCGATTGTATTCCGTATAATGTAGAACTAGGAAGAAGGCGAATCAGAGTATTTAGGCCGGTATTCATAGTCAGATCTGATATTCAAGACCGCCTTGAATTTATCTAAAGATGCTGTATAGCCCATGTCAGACTACGGATTGAGATTGAGATTAGATTGAAATATGGCCAATCAGAGTAAAGTTTACTAATCTAAAGTTTCGTGACTTTTACTCTAATTTCAATCTAATCTCAATCACAATCCGTAGTCTGATACGGGCATATGGTCGACATTTCACTCACTATGGAGTATCTAAAGATGATCCTAAGACTGTCTTGAATATAAGATCTGACTATGAATGCCGATCTGAATTTACGGATTCCATGAATCGGACCTGCATCCATTCTGCGACCACCGATTTCAATTCGTAATGCGATTCCAGCAAACAAGCTGACATTATTTATCAAAATGACGACAAGTAACGTCATCGTGTTTGCCGGGATGTTACATAGAACCCGCGTACACACATTATACATATGCATATTTGATAATATTTATATCGCAGGAACATTTACAAATTGCACCCCCTTCATTTTTCTCGCAATAAAGTCTGCCTATCAGTGCCTCGGGAAACGGCTCGCGGTAAAAATGAGATTACGCGAGCGGGTGGAATCGGGAGAAGAGGCGAGACCCGGCGAATCGGGCTCGGGCCGGCACCACGCTCCACTTTTTCCTCGCTCGAGGGGACGACGCCAGCCGTGGGTGTGAGCGATCCCGCGCCGTTGTTTCGCGCCGTTTCCGATAAGAACGACGTTAAGCCCGGGCTCGCCAAGAATTACCTGGACGAGTGCGCGGCAGGATAAGAATACCGGTGCCGGCGCGGTAAGCCGCAATTTGCCGGCGGCCTGGGAACCGAGGGGCTGTAGGTGGGCCTGGCGCGCTCCAACGGGGGCAAACAGTCTAAATGATTAAGCCCCCCTCCCCCCGGTGCCCCTCTTGTAGCTGCAGCCGACGCCCGAAGCGCGTTAGCTCTCTCGTTCGCCAGCCGACTCTTCTCAATCGCGATCTATCGCTCTCTCTAAAGATCAATCAGTGGATTATCACTGAAAACGGTAAATAGTCACTGATTTACAGTTATATAGTTAAAAGTCAATCGGTGGATTATCACTGAAAACAGTGAATAGTCACTGATTTACAGTTATACAGTTAAAAGTTAGTCGGTGCTGAAGAGATTTTACTTCATGGGCAATAAATTCATGGTGGAATCAACTGATGATTCCTATTAATTTAACAGAAGGAGACTTTTCTCTACTTACAATTGTAAGTCAGTGACCATTCACTGTTTTCAGTGATAATCCACTGATTGACTTTTAGAGAGCGACCTGCCCTTAATCATCGATCGCCCGGGTGCTGTTTCGGAAATTGGCGGTTTCTCGAAATGTCGCGGAGGTCCAGCTTTGATCTGGCTCGACGAGTCGCTTCTTTCATCGGTACGTAACACGCCTGGCACGTCGAGCGCGGGCATTGAAGTCTACCCGCGCGAATCCTCGCGTCAACTCGATGTCAAGATATGTCTCGCGTCGCGATTATTTTCCGTCAATTTTTAATCGCTTATATTTTACGATCTTGAGCTTAAATAGATACTCACGAGCCTCTCGGATAAACGGATAATCCTTTCGCGAAACTTTCATCGACCCAATAACGTTTCGAGAATTAAACGCCGAGTTATAAAGGAATTAAGCGAAAGCCGTGGTATACTTTGATGAATTTTCCCCGCCGAAACACCGCTAATTAGCCAAGTCCTGATAACGATTCTGCGGCTCTGAGTGGGCGCGGAGCGAGCGCGAGATTATAAATACCCGCCGAAGCCGCAAAAGTATAAGAAAAGTTTAATCAGGACTTGGTGGAGGAGAAGGAGGAGGAGGAGGGCTAAAGGCGGGAAAGAAGGTAGGAGGGTGGGGGAGCGTCCTCGTGACGACTTGATGAGATAACTTTGCCCAAGTTGTGAAACAACGGGCGTCACGATACGTGACTTCGTGCGAGGGTGAAAGGAGAATCCCTGCGCCCCGCAGGTGCAAGGAGGGGCGGGGTGGGATGACGGCGAAACGGGACTAAGGGGCCAGACACGCGACCACCTTGGATACCGCCCTGTCCTGTGTTGCTGAGGTGTACGACGACGATCGTGTACGACGTTCGCGCTGCGTGAGAAGCGGCCCCCTTACGTCTCGCGCGGCGAAACGGAGCGCATTTTTGCGTGCGAAAACGCCTGTAAACCCTCCACAGCGCTGTGATGCGGGGCGCTAACAACAGCCCGCGGGCGATACCTCGCGTAAAGGCGTTTGACACCAAGTACCAACGTGGAAGCGTAACATGAAAAATAAGTAGGATGCGCTGCGTGTCACACGTGTACAGTCTTTCACGATTATAAATTAATGTTCCAGGAAGAAGAGAGTGCGGCGAACGTTAAGTAGGGGCGAACGACCTGGGCGAAGTGAAAAATCGCTGGAATTCTCGATGCATGTACAAAGGATACGTCCGCGCGTACGTCGCGAGCCTCCGGGGAAGGACGTCGATTAGACCGATTACCGCCGGGGCCGCCGGGGGTGGGCTCGGGGGTGCGTCCGCCAGTTCGCCGGCTCATCACGTGACGTGATGTCACGTTACCCGGTGGTCGTCGACAGGTGTTCGGGTTCGCACGACCAGGTCCGATCGCGAGCAAGGAGTAAGCGCGGAAGCGCGGCCCGTTATCGGCGTAAATCCAGCCACATAATGGTATAAACGAGCACATCCGAGCTAGACGGGCGACAAGAAGCGCGCGCTCATAACGTTAATGTCCTCGATCGATCTCTCCCTCGGCGAGGGTGGATTTTATAAAAATGTACAGAAGGCAATCAACAAATGCGAACACCTCTCGGTCCGTCAATCCTGACGAAGAAGAGTCGATCAGACGCCCAAGGGGAGAAAGATCTCGCGGGGTGTCCGGGCAAGGGAGAATTTAGATTCCATGATAAATCGCGTCTCGTACAAAGGATTTCATGTATACACAGAAGCGACGGTGGAAGAGCGACGTTACTCGAACGTGCGTTTAATTTCTCAACGCAGCGAGCACATGAGAGGGACACACGATTGTTTCGAAGGCGCCTGTAATTGCGGCGCCGTGGGATCACGACCACGTGGCCGCCGGTGATCCCCCGCCTCGCCCTTCCCTCCTCCCCGCCCGCGTCCACCTGAGGCTCGTCGCTCCCTTCCGCAGTAAATTAGATATTACGATACTAAATGACGTTATTTAACCCGCCCGTGCGTGCGTGCGCCCGGCTCCGTGGAGTTGAATTTATGCGGGTCTACGACATTGTCGCGCCAACGTCATGCAGGTGCGCGACTGACTGAGTCGCTCGCCGATCCTCACCGTTGCGATTAGCACGACTTCCATTTGAGTACGCCCGTTACACCATGCAGTACGAATTAAAAAACAGTGATTTGACCTAGCGAGAGCCTAGAATACGTCCAAAAGAAAGGCGCTCTTCATGCCACTTCGAGACATTTTACGTCCGGTTGTACCAACGTCACGTAACTTTAATTTTAGCTTGACTCGCAAGTAAACCTACCTACCCAAGTGGGGACACACCGATTTTGATGAGTGTCGAATATGTTGTTTTTCAGCTCAAAATAAGGGACATTTTTTTATACGTGCCCATACGCACTTTTAGGCAGTGAAATACCCCTTTGAAGAAATTTTGATTTTCTCTTTCGGGGCGATTGACGAAAGTGTAAGGTTTCTAAGGCACGGTTTTTCATTTTCTGTCAACTCTCCATCTTTCTCTACGTTATTATCTAAGAAGAGACAGGGAATCGACTAATCTCTGGTCAACAGTTAAGCAGAAAATGAAAAACCGGGCCCTCAAGAAAGAGAAAAGCGGATTGAGCAAAGGCGAAAGTTACGCGACGTTGGTGCGATCGGGCCTTAAGCTCTTGTCTCGATCAGTTATCCAGCGCGTGGAATTGCGAATCGCGAAGGTCGAAGGATGCGGAGACACGATCGCGAGGCGAAAGTAATCGATCTCTTGACCGTTAATCGCGGGCTAGAGGATAATTACAGGACGGGCGGAGCTGCAACATTAATGAGAACGAGCAGAATGGTGATGGGGGAGGGCGGAGAGATCGCTCGGAGGGGAGGAGGGGCAGCGATCTAGCACGCGCCGCCGGCTAATTTACTTCATAATAATTACCGGCGGCGCATTAAACATTCGTACGTAGGTAACGTGAAAGTGTCAGGTGCTGACTGTCCCAGAGGCAACATTAGAAGGCAATGTGTAGCTACTGTACTACGTTACGGGCGGCTACGTGGCCGGGGTCTATTGCGAGGCGCGCGTGTGTAACGTGTAACGCGCCTCTCCGCCTCGCATGTGTAAGACTCGCACCTGCATCGCCGCCCGAGGTCTCCCAGAAGGACGAGGGAAGAAGATCGTAATTTCTCTGAAAATAGAGCGGCCGAAGAATCGCGTTAACTCGCGCCCGCGCCAAAGTTTCCGGAATTTCTGTTACCGATTCGATCAAACTTGCCGCGCGCGGTTCGACCTCGCGCGATCTCTCGTGATTTTTCCACATATTTTTCAAGTCCAAGTTACTTCCGAGTGATTCACAGGGAGAGTTTTTTTCCCTACCACACTTTGCAGTTTCTCTCTTTATAAACTCTGCGCTCGCAATTCCCAGAGCTTTATCGTCGGTCAACGCGTGCAGCACTTGCAATCAGTAATTATACTAGTATTCCTTTTCTCCCCTTTTCTTTTTATTTTTATTTTACTGCTACCCGTCCCTTTTTCTCTCTTAAAAAAAAACTCACACGTGGGACCCCTTGTAGAAATGTAAGCGAAATAATGACTAGAAAATTACTGTACATCAGTAATTTCTATAAATAATTCAATTACTGAACTGTAGTAATTATTCAGTGTTTCCTTCGTTTCCAGTTGTTACATTTCCGTAAGGGACTACAACAAACGTATGTTACGTTATTCTCTCTCTCTTCCTTTCTTCCGTATTAAATGCGACGAAGTGTGCGTACGCGATGAGGAATAAATGACGAATGACTTTAAAAATTATGCATGTCATAAGAATTACAGATCGAGGCCGTGTAAGATGTGTATGGACGATAAGCGTCGGCGATCAGTCATCGCGGGGCCGCGACGTGTACCGTCGAGCGATGAACCACACGAATCGCAGATAATACAAGCATAATGATTGGAAGATCAGAATCTCTCCGGTTACCTGAAATTGCGGCGCTGGTCGTTATTCTTTCGCGACAATGAATATTTTATATCGCGCTATAGCGCGCCTTCATTACGGGCTAAATTTGTAGCCGGTATACAGAATCAATTTTGAATATAACAGTTCTACATGTGAAATGAATTCTACAGTTTCCCCGGCGAATTATTCCGAGAGAAGGGAGAACTTTTCCACTCGTTCGCTCGAATTACGCGAATTTACGTGCAATCGCGTAATTGCGATTTAATACGAAATTAATATCAATCAATTACAAGTGTAAACGCCTTTAGGACCCGGCGGAGGATTATCATGTGAATCCGTATACCGTATTTATTCCATCCTGTTCTTCGTACCGTTACAAACTGACAACCACAGGTTTTTCGTTAGGTGGAATCATTAGGCTTGTTTTCTGTTCCTACACTAGTGAACTAGTGCAATAAATTGGAGTAAGACAAGCATATTTTTTCTCATTCTAGCTTACTGCACTAGTTCACCAGTGCAGGAACAGAAAACAAACCCATTGTCGTCGGTGAATTCACGTGTTATAAAATCGCACAGCGATTTTTCTAAATTATCTTAAAATGCTATACATAGCATTTATTACGGTAACCCCCACCCCCTCCCCCGTACTAAAAATTACAATTCTTATTGCGAAAAATAGTACCTCAGCCAGGCTGAAAATAAATATCATTTCGCTCGAAATTCGAATAAGATGTGTTTAACGCGAGGCGTATTTTAATTCGTTAATTAGAGAGGCTCGGTCGGCTCTCGCGATCTCCTCGCAACGTTGCCGGAGGTAATGACGCGCCAGGGAAATAAATAGTAACGCATTAATATCCATTAGTATTGAAGAGCACGAGAACATTATATGGAGCTCTTGTCGCTGGTTATCTACGCGCGTCCTTTCGCACAATCGTACTCACGTGACCTATTATGTGCCGCGGATTGCAGATCTCGCGATACAGTGATAAAAGGCGAAAGAGTGGGGGCGGGGAGAAAAGGGGAGCGTATCGGCGTGTCGCGATTGGTCGGGCTGGTCCGCGCCCGCATTTCGCTCTGACCAACGGGCGGCGACCGCGATGACGGCGGCGACGAATCACCCGACGGCACGACAATGCGCATGCACTCGGGGGCGGGGCGTTCGATTCCAGTAAATTCCCTCCTTCCCCCTCCCCCGTGTGTACTTCGTGATCGCGATGCTGCAACACGTGACGTGACGCGGCGCGTTATCGCGCTTGATGAGACGAGTGTCCGATAGTCGGAGCGAATTGCTAGTTCGACCGCCGCAGAAGGTTCATTACGGGCAATATCGAGACTCGCTCGTGAGGAAGCTCGGATCGCCGCGCGATTGAACCTTCGAACGACTCCGAGTACTTCTTAATATTACAATATTGTAGAGAAGTATATTTAAAGTCACCAGTGATGAATAAAATAGAAATAAAACTTCTTGTTGATTCGACTGGCAATATAATTAGTTAAATTAACAAGAAGTCTTATTTCTATTTTAATATTGTTTCGATCGAGGGACGCGACGAGCGAACGTCGGATGCGGAAAAGTATAAAAAAGTACAGAACGTCGAGTTTCAGATCCCACAAACGACCTCGATCATGTGTACGAAAGACTGTGTCTTGTCTATGTGTGAATAGTGAAGGAAAAAGTCAGGCCATAACGCAAAATCGTTGCCGGAGAGATTTTGCGTCAACGAGGAGTTCGTCGATGATGTATGAAATATCGAACTAAAAATCCTTTACTTATTTCGACTGTGTTTAATGTCCTCATACAGCTTCGTGGATTTCTGTACGTAAATTACGCGTATAAATAGTGACGTACATCATAAAACGGACAAACGGAGTACATGTTGCCGAGACGAGATTTCGTCGTCGTGATCGAGTATGGTGCGTCGAACGGAACCTTCCGATCTCACGAGAGATGCGATTGTCGCCGGCAGCTGCGGCGCAAATTATGCCTGAAGCGACTCTCGAGGTTTGGGCTGATTTCAAAGATCGTGCATTTATGCACCCTAGTAGCACAATATGTTGGCACAATACTGCAAAATAATGTAAATCTAGTATTCCCAATATTGTAAGATAAGTGCCTTCTCTTATTTAGCCAATGTGTCTATTTAGCAATATTGGTCTAATATTGATACAATATTAGACTAATATTCTTATTACGTTGGTAAATATTGGCCAATGCACATCCGATATAAATCTAATATTATATAATTGTTGTCGTGCAATATTTACATTTATTCCACGGCCAATATTGGCTTTACGTTGGGCAATATCGGCCAATACATTTCTAATATAACCAACATTGGACCAATATTGAGCCAATGTTTAGCCATTGCACTGTGCTGCTAGGGTGTCTGCGTCACAATGACGCCTGTTCTTTTCTAATTAAGGGCTCATCGTTCAAGGATCGAAGAGATGCGTAAAATTCACCTTGACCTCGCGCATTGAGAAATTACCTTTCGAGAAATGAGTTCGCACTCCCATGCGAGGACGTTGTGCACCGGAAATCCGGTCTCCGGCGCATTCTCGGCGCTGCATCTCCTGCGGAGTTACAGCCTCTTCGCTCCGAACTCGGGTGCGTAGATGCAACGTACCGGGGAAACAGTTTTCATATACATAGAATCCTATACAAATTATGTTCACATACATTTTTCTTTGTCTTGCGTAATCTGTGCGTGTACAGGAAAAATAATAAAAGTTTTTAAATCATTAGAAAGAATAATTTTCGCTTTTTTTTTGGTTTACAAAAATGTGGTGTTTGCGGCAGTTTTATCCTTTGTGAAAAAAAAAATGTAAAAGTGATTTTTCTAATTATTCAAAAAATGTTTTTACTATTTTTCTTACATATACGAGTGGAGATTATACAATCGGAGAAAGAAAGCATATGGACATATTTTGTACGATTATATATAAAAAATTTCTTCTCGTGCGCTATTCTTTTATTCTGTTCGATATAAACAAAATGTCTTGCGTAAAATTTCACCTTTGCTAGCGCGCGAGTGTCTTTTTTGCCCCAATTTATCTTACAAAACATTAACAGAGATTTCACAATTATTCGTGCTGTATACGTATCACTACACGTTTTCCTTTTCACGCGATATACTTTCCTTCTTTTTAGCTGTGCTTCGTATTTTTGCATTAATACTTTACGATACAGAGATATTTTCGATATATCGTGCGATGTCCTTTATTTGTCGCTTAAACTGGTCCTCGTTATGCACAAGTGAGCAAGTTGACCGATATATAGATTAATCTTGGACACTTTCCAACTCATTCTCGAATCCTCCAGTAGCCGTGATCGTCTAGTGGTTAGGACCCTACGTTGTGGCCGTAGTAACCCAGGTTCGAATCCTGGTCACGGCAATGCGTAAGCATTGTCACGGTGGAGGTTTTTTTTTCAACAAATTTTATTTTTTATATTTTTCCACCGATACTCATGACCATTGGAATATATATTAAATGTAAAATGTTATATTAAATATATAAAATGTTATATTAAATTTAAGCGGTTTCTTCGAGTGACAAATTCGCGATTCGGGCGAGTTGAGCAATTTATTCTGAAAATGTAAAAAGTTAGAAATAATTATATAACGATTATCCCTACAATTTCAAGTGTACACTTTGAGTCCCGCACAGTTTGCGCTGCAGGCTGCAACATTATTTGTTACTTGTGTAAACGTATTAAAATAGATGTTGAGAAACGGAGTCGTTTCCCTCGTTAAGTCAATTTGATTTTTGCGAGCGCGCGTCCTCGTTACGAACGGCCGTCTTATTCGCGGCATCGCCATTACGCCGGTGTTTTCTTCCCGAAAATTGCAACTCCGGTTAACGAATCCGAATTTTACGACCCGGCCTAATAGCCGCGGAGCAATTCGCGCGGACGCTTGCACGGTTTCGCACGAGCCAACGAGCCCAGCGACGCTGCATGGTCGTTGGCATTAGCATCACGACATTTCGGACCCCGATATTTCATCGTCGGTAGCGTGCACACGTGGCCGTACGGGGTAAAAGTTCCAACTCCGCACCGGCAAAGTATCCAAGTGTCAAATAAATCTTGCATCGATCAAGCGAGCGAACAAACGCTGCGCTTCACATGCGCGGCTAATTAATCGCGGAAACGAAGGAGGGAAAGAAGCGAGTGTTCGCTGCAGCTTTATCGCCTAATGTAAGAGCTAATTTGTATAGAAAGTTGGAAATATTAGACAAGAAATTAATGGAACGTTGCGTTATACGGGAAACGGGTATATCATGTTTCTCGTTGCGTGTATTGAAATTAATTTTTATATGATAAATGATATAAATTAAATTACGCGTCAGAATTAATTTCAATACATGCAACTGCAAATATGATATATCCTTTCCTGTGTAACGCAACGTTTCATTGATTTATTGAAATTAGTTTTAACGCGTAATGTAATTAATATTACTTATTAATAATTCAAACCCTGGCTGAGGCAATATATTTCGCAATAAACTTCCTGCATTGACCGATAAATTAACAAATGTGGGCAGCTGTGATCGAATCAAATTTGAATCCTTGATTACTTATTACGTTAAAATTAATTTCATTCGTCAATTAATTTTACGCAATGAAAATCTCTCGTTGTCTAAAATGTTATTTCCACCTTGCCTTTTCCACATACGGTTTACGATATATTATTTATAATATACATCAAGTATAAAAAAAAAATTATTAATGTACCCCTGGTGGGACTCGAACCCACAATCCCCGGTTTAGGAGACCGATGCCTTATCCATTAGGCCACAGGGGCGGTCGGTGGAAACGTCTCTAAACCCTATAAACCTGACCGCCCAGCCATTTGATTTTTTTCTCCCCTTAAACTTAGCGATACGAAATAACCGAGAACACAATCGATCGAATGCGCGGGTCCGTTGGAACAAAATCGATAAAATTGCCGTTTTTGTTAGCAGATCTGTGCAGGTACGAGGCGTACCCGTCTCGGGACTACAGCTTCGTCGAGCCGGATATTTTGTCATCGAGTTCCGTGCCGGCGGATTCCCGGTCCTCGCCGTTAACGTCCTCCTCCCTGTCGGCGACGCTCTCGCTCCCGGGGACTCTGCTTCAGCCACCCTTTCTAGCGGCGATGCCACCCCTGATACAATCCCTGAGCGTGCCGCAATCCTTCTCAACTTCCTCCGCAGGTAAGCCGGTCTTTTTTTTAACGGTTTAACGTCCGATCCACCCTTTGTACGGTCCTCCGATAGTCATTTGCATAAAGGGGTTTTCTATTTATCCATTGATTAATAGCATGCCAGTCAACCGCCTCGGTAGCGCAGTAGGCAGCGCGTAAGTCTCATAATCTTAAGGTCGTGAGTTCGATCCTCACCCGGGGCATTATTTTTTTTTCTTCCGTACAAATCGTGCCGTACGTCTTTTCTCGTCGCGCCTCGCGATAATAAGCGGTAATGATGCGTTTTTATATTTTATTATTATTTTATGCGTGGCTGAAACAGGTGCTATGAACCGCCACCACTTCGTCCCTACAAATGGCATAACTGCTCTACACAGAAGACCCAGAAGCGAGAAGAAACCGATCCCGGACGAGCAGAAGGACGAGAAATACTACGAGAGACGTAAACGGAATAACCAGGCGGCGAAGAAGTCGCGGGACGCCCGCAAGATCAGGGAGGACCACGTAAGGACGCGCGGATCGATCTCGGGGCCGCGCGGCCTCGACCGAACCGCGATTAATTCAACCGGCGCAATCGCGTCACAATATCTCGGTTCTCTTGACAAAAAAGAAGGATCTTATTTTCTTAGGCCCGTATTCTGAACCCCCCTAGTAGCGCAATATTGGGAAATAATGTAAATCTAGTGTTCCCAATATTGATCCAATATTGTAAGATGGACGCCTTCTCTTATTTAGCCAATATGTCTATTTAGTAATATTGGTCTAATATTGTATCAATACCCTGCCGGAAATAATTCTACAAAATTCTACAAAAAAAACTATAATATAACTGCCAGAATCTAAGAAATTCTATGTAAATTTACAAAGTGTTATAAAAATCAACATGAAAATGTTAGAATTGGAACACTTTTGTTAATTTTTGTAATATTCTACAAGTAAGCTGATGTTTTAATTCTTTAAGATTTTGTTGTTTCTCAAATTTTTTAAACTAGTAAAAGGGGTTTCAGAATACGGGCCTTAACGTTCAATTTAGCGAACGAGGTAAAGGGAATTCGACAACGCGCTGTAACAAGTTCGACGAGTTTCGTGCGTTCGTGCATCTCTTTGTCTCTTCTTGCAGATCGCGCTGAGGGCGACGATGCTAGAGCACGAAAACGCGATCCTGAAGGCGCAGATAGTGACCTTGCGGGAGGAGGCGCAATCCTTGCGGCATATGTTGCTCAAGCAACACGCCCCGGCGATACAAACGATCGAACGATCGCTCTCGTCGATGACGCCCGTGACGCTCTCTCCTCCGCACACGAGCGCGAGTCTGGATTGTTAATTCACGGAGATTCCTCTGAAAAGCTGAATGTTTATGTACGGGAGACTCAAATCCGATATGCAACTTATCGCGCCGACGAACACGCCTGTGAAAATGATCCGTACGTCTTTATTTGTGATCGATTCGTACCTCGATTCAAGTATCTCTCACTGATTGTGAGTTACGCAAACAGATGACCGATTCTATATCTGTTTCTACCAACGTGGATTAATTTTAATCTTGGGCTGGTATTCCTAGTCAGATCTTGTATTCAAGATCGTCTTAAGATCATCTTTAGATAAATTCAAGACGGTCTTGAATATAAGATCTGACTATGAATACCGATCTTGGTTTACCTTTGAGAACTAGAAAAAGATAAAAGCGAGTTAAGCCGAGATTAATCTACATATATTGGTAGAAATGGACATTAGATCAGTTTCGGAGATTAGGATAGAATCCGAGGAGAGCTCGGAGATTTTATTTATTGTTGGAATTATTATCATCCATTTTAAGTGTAATTATATATGTATAATTGTTGCTTGAACGCTAATAAAAAGAGATGATTCAAGATGTATAAACCAGCGCGGTCTTATGCGAAATCATCCGGGAAATTATTTCAATATGCTCGTGGAAGTAATCCACGAAATATATGTCGCATTTCTTTTTATTGTAGAAGACTCGGCTGTCGCGTTTCTCCATTAAAAATACACTTACCAGACATTCAACGGCGTTTCTGTAAAAATATCAAAATCTTCAGCAACCAACAATCAGTCTTGCTCAAGTGTAACTGAAGAAACTTTGATACTTCCTTAAATTCTTGTACTCGAAACACACAAAAAACAATATATCATATACTGAAAAAAATGCTTTGACTATCAATAAGACACGTATGATAAAATGTGATTCGGTTAAACCAAACAGAACTTCTAGTTATCACGATAGGACTCGATATTCTATAACCAGAAGTTTGATAGACTTCACTACACATCTAGTAAATCCTAAAGGAATGAAAATTCGTCCATTTTCTAACAGACGACTGGTTAAATCTACGTAGATTTCTAATTAATGCAACCTGATTTTCTTTCAGTGTAGGAATAAGGAAATGGAAGATATTTGGAGATGAAGATTTACATAAAGAAATTCTATGGCGCGCGTGCACTTTTTCAACGTAGACACACTTCCTCGTAGTGTCCAATTTAATTACAACATTCCAATCACAATTCTAATTCAAATTCTTTATCAATAAACAATTTTGTGCTTTCCTTTTTAGAGAAATTACCAACGCAATAAAGATGTGATAAATGATAATGTACTACATAGCACAGAAGTGATATACACATTATATATTATATACACATGCATATTACACATGCACTCACGTGTATATATGCACATGTACTCATATTCTCCATTGATTCTCTTTTAGCAATGTGTATATGAGGATGAAGATTATATACACTAAAAAGAATAACGGACTGTCGCCCCACACGCCTAGTCTTATTTACCGTATAAAAAGTACTTTAATTACAATACAATAAGAAACATTGTGACGTACATTTGTCGAATTATACATACACATATATATATATATATATGTATAATCTTCTCGGTGTGCGTTCTATGCTAGTATAGACTACTTATACGAGTACAGGGCTACTCCTACAAGGAGAATATAGATACAGACACATAAAGATGATACACAGACGCCCTAAGTAGATAGAAACGCGCAACTACTTTTAATAAGGGAAAAAAAGAAAGGAAGAGAACAATGTCCATCCGTCTATCATCACGCACAACCGTGTGTGTGCGTGTGCGTCTGCTCTGTCGAGTGGCGCAATTTCTCCGACTTTCGTCGGTGCGAGACCTCGCAGAGGTCTGCAAGCGCAGCGCGTACCTTCTTTCGTCACAATTTTCTTTTTAAACGTTTGCGCATTTAACTTTACAATAGTATCTTATCCTTAAGTGCTCGGCGAGATCGAATTTTTACAAATACCGTTGACCTCGTCCAGGAGAACAACGCCTGGAGACGACGTCTCGCGAGGGAGACCCGTCGTCCCGTCGCGAAGGAAACTTATAGCCCTAATTACATTTAATGTTATACATACACAATCAGACACCGTCCAACCACTCCGTCGTCGCTCAGAGTCTCTACCTCCGCTTCTCCGCTCTAAATACTCTAACATTTAAATATTCACCTACGAAGGCATTACATACTTGTCTTTATGTAAAAACCTGGATTCGATGACGACGACGGAGTCGACGGGGACGCGCGCGACGCGACTGCGTTCTGGACCGCGCGTCGAATCACCGAGAATGGCAGTAATCGCGTGCCAGAGCACGCGGGTGGTAACGCAGAAATTATTCAAGTCGTTATACAAATTAATTGGCCGCTATTACAGCGGCGGCGGCCGCTGCCGCCGCCGCCGCCGCTGCTGCCGACGACGACGACGACGACGACGTTGACGACGTTGACGAGGACGACGACGAAGAAGATGACGATGATGACGATTTCTTCTTCAACACGATGTCCTTAATATTGAGATTGACCTTCTCCTTGTGCAACGGCGGCACCGATTGCAGGCAGAATCGCTTGAAGGCCTCCAGCTCGCGCTCATCATCGTCCATCTCCTCGTCATTCTCGAGGTCTATATCTTTGGGCGTGAATACCTCTGTAAAAGACACGTTCTGAATACTGGATACAACTCGCCTGCGAGCGCGGCAATGATTTTGGCAAAATCTGCTGTGCATTACTTCTCTCACCCCCCCCCCCCTCCGCTCTCGCTCTCGTCTACTGTGTAGGTATGGGTGGAAGTATAGAGAGAAAAAAAAGGAACGATTATATCAACGTTCGATGTCTCGGGTATCGTCCAGATAGTGTCGAGGCACCCCCGTCACGCGTTTGCAATGCAAAGAGACGTATCCGCGCGTCGCATTTGCAAATCTCGCAGAATCGTTTCATTTGTAGTTACGAGTGTTCTTTGGGTCTCTCCTATAACTTCCTCCGTTGTCGCAATTAATAAGATACCGCTTGAAAACTGTTCAGTCCTGGGGAAGGGGGGAGGGTGTCTCGTCCTTGTCCTTTCTGAATTTATTGCCAGGCAATGAGGTAATTTTACAACACGTCGAACGGAAGAGAAAAGAAGTGGAAGAAAAAGAAACAGAGAAAAGAATTGTGCAGCATTTCGGGAAACGCATTTCTGCTCCGACAAAGGGGAAAAGAGAGAATAATATTGAAAAAAAATAGCTCACTCTTTTATTTAATGTTATCAGTAGATTAGAAAAACATAATATGCTATTATCACATTCGTATATCATTCATCACAATGAGATGACCCCTACGTTGTCGTACGGTCAATAATAAATGTAGTCGAGCAATTTATCCATTCATATTTTATCGGTCAAACATTGGTTAAATCAGAGATTGAAAAAATGTGACAAAAATATCAGTTATAGCTAGAAGTGTGACATTTTGATGTTATCTTTATTCGCAAAATGTCCCAGGAACGTCTTTAATGTCATTTCTGTACAGTTTGGAGCCCCCGACTTCGTTCTAACGCGTTTTTAAAATGCGAAATGACCCTCAACACGTAAAATAGTGTCCAAATAACATCAACAATCAAAATTTTCCTCAGTAAACGTTTCCAACGTCAATGTCGTATCACTTGCATCAGAGAAAAAGGTTGAAAATTCTTAATAATCAACTCCGCAGCATATAATAAATATATAATATATAATAATAATAATACCTTTTTCTTGTTACTTTGAAATCAATAATTTGGCTAGAGATTGTGAACAACCAAAGAGATTTATGCTTAAGGCTGGTTTTTGTTTATTTTTTAAGACATGTTACTGCTTTTACAGCTTGAAAATGATATGTAATTTCAGTAATTTGTTCCATGCCATTTTAACATGTTTTATGCTACATTTTTTAACACATGTATAGCCTTAGGAAACCGCAAAATATGCCAAAAAATAACATTAAAATGACGCAAAATCTGGAAAAACAAAACGCAAAAAATGCCAAAAAATAACATCGAAATGTCACACCTCTAGTTATAACTCTGGAATAAATTCGGAACGTTATCATCATCTAATATGTTCTAATCACCTAATATTAAAATAAAGGTGCGCGCGATAACATGGTCGCCGGTGTGCAATTATTTCCGGCATTCAGTCTCCAGTTCAAGATAATCTTGTGTGTGCAGAATCCCCCCTTTCTTCCCTCTCCTTGCATAGCCGACTCGTGTGCTCGGTTCGTCCTTATACGTTTTGCGCGGCATCTCTTATCGAGACGGTACTGTCTCGCGTTTAGCATTCTTGCGAAAAGAAGAACAAGGACCGGAATCCGCGACTAAATCCACTCTTAACTCTGCGCTTTCCGGAAAAGAACAAAGCGACTCGAATCGTCGGGACAAATCTCGCGTGAAACTAAAAAAAAAAAGAGAAGGGAAGGACGATGATCGCTGGACCCGTTTGTCTTCCTAAGAAACTGCCTTCCGCAAGAAACTCACGGAAGCCAATTTCTCGAAGACACCTCTTTCATTCGGGAGCACGTGGCGTCTAAAAAATCTTTCGTCCTAGCGGGACGACGCGGGGCATCCTAACACGGTGCAGTGCCCTCTCCGGCACGGGGTGAAGGAGAAAGAAAATCGTCCTTCCTGCGATGAACCTACAAGCGTCCCAGAGAGACACAGTATGGGTAGTTTCCTTCGTAAAGGAGAGAAGCTAGATCTAGCCGTTGCAAGCGTGAGAAACAACTCGGGGAGGATGCGTGCCTGTATAATGTATTCGTGTAATGTGTTAAAGAAAACAAACAAAATGAAAGAAGCAGATTTACATGTTAAAGTCTGATTATTGCTGTTTCTCACCAACGAGGTCCAAGTCATCCCCGCACTGGCCCGTGCCGCCTCCGCGTTTTTTCTTCTTCTTGCTCTTCCCGCCGCTGCCGCCTCCGCCGCTGTTGGCTGCCGTTATCGAGGTGGCGTTTATCGCGGCCTCCTTCGCCGTGGCGCATCTCGCCGGTGCCTGCCGTGCGTCCTCCATACCCGTCACCTCCGGCCTCACCTTCGTCAGGGTGACACTGGTACCCTTGAGATTGATGCCGTTCTCCGGTATCGGCTGGCCGTTCGTCATCTGGCTGATCTGGATGTTGGCGAGCTCGGACAGGGACGAGGCGCAATCCGGCTGCGCGCTCAACCGGCTGCGCAACTCCGCCAGGCTCGACGATATGACGCCGTTGGCGTGTTTCACGCTCAGCTGGCCGCACTCGGTCGTCGTCGTTCTGCCCGCCGACAGATCGCCCTTGACTATGTAATCCGGCTTGGGCGGCGACGTCAGGCCCGCATTGATCGCCTGCTGCAGAGCCGGGCTTCGGATCGTCACCATGCCGTTCTCCGAGACCTTGATGATCGCCGCCTGCTGGGTCGGTGGCACTTTCATCGGCCCGAACGACGGGTTCCTGATAGTCACCATGTTCGTCCCGGGATTGTGCAGTATCCTCGCCGGCTCGTCCATCACGTGCTCGCTCACGAACCCGTCGTTGTTCTGCATCGGCGACGCGTTCGCCGGCGCATTACCCGAGTTGGCTGAATTCTTATTCTTCTTCTTCTTCTTTTTACCGCTGGCGGCATTCTGCGGCTGGGAATCTGCGTAGAGAAAAATCACTCGTTGAAATCATTGATAAGAGCAATGCTGAAAGATAAACGTTCCTTATTGAGAGAAGCACGTTTAGAAATGTACGATCTTCGAAGGCAATTCTAGCGATTGTTTAATAAATTTAGTTCTTTGAAGAATTTTATCAACTCCTCATAAAGCAAGAACTCGTTTGATTTTGTTATACAAGTATTGTACGAGATAAAATAGAACCTTCGGGCCGATTAAAAGATCACGTGTAAAAGACTATTAGTCTCACAAGTCGATTTACGTGCGATTCTTCTATTATCTCAGTTTACCTATACTGATCTCGGCCTACCTTTCTCACTGGCCTTCGGCAGCAGGTCTTGCTTGAGCTTGCCCGTGTCCACCACTATGACATTTCCGCCTGCCTGCGGACTCGCGTAGCTCGACTGAACGCCGCTCATCGGCGCGGCGATGATAGTAGTTTGCTTGGGCGGATTCACTGGTTTCGGCAACGGTGCAGTTTTGATTGGGAGCGGCTTCGGCGGCGCGTCGACCTTCGTGATCGTGATGCCCGGTGGCAACTTGAGATTTTCGATGTTGATCTTGGAGTTTGGCCCGATGTCTTTAAACTGGCTACTAAGCGACGGCGAGGTAACTCGTTCGGAACACGTGTTTTGGACCTCCGCGGGCGCACGTTGCTTACTTACGGTAGTTTGATTCGTTTTACTTACATTGGTATTCTTTTGAGAGTCGTTCTTAGTCGACACGTTCTTATTATTCGCGTTGTTATTTTTATTGCTTTTACTGGTGTTCGATTGTGGATTTTTATCTTGCTGCTGCTGCTGCTGCTGCTTCTTTGCCTTCTTACCAATCCCGGATTCGCTTATAATCTGATTCTGATTCTGCTGCTGCTGTTGCTGCTTCTGCGACACTGGCGTCTGAGGAGGAGTACCTGCTTTGTTCTGCTTTTTGTTGGTCGCGTTTTGTTGGTTCTTACTCTTGTTCACCGTATTTTGCTGTTGCAACACGTTCTCCTTGTTCTCCGAATTTCTTTTGTCCTTCTTCGACTTGGAATTTTTGCCTTCGTTGACGTTCTGCTGCTGGACCTTCCTCTCGTCCACCTGTTTACCACTCTTCGACTTCTCGTTGGTCGCTTGTTGCTTCAAGTTCTTACCATCGCTGGCTTTAGTCTGAGTCTGTTGCTTCGAATTATTCGATTGCTGCAGCTTATTTCCCTGTTGCAAAGGATTATTGTTGTTAGTCGCTTTCACCTTCTTCTTTTTCCCACTGTTACTTTGGTTTTGTTCTTGCTCCGACTTGTGAGAGGGTTCTTTGGTCTGTCCATTCACCAACGTGAATAGAACCTTATCCTCGGCCGGGGTTTGGCCTTTCAGAGTGATCGTGACCGTAGGCTCAGCGCTGTTTGAATTTATTTCCCTCCTAATAGTAACTATTTGCGGTTGAGATTCCGTATGTGCTGCACTTTCGGTTTCCTTCGCCTTCGCATCTTCCAATTTCTTCATTTCCTTCTTCAACTTTTTCCTCTCCTTCTTCGTCAATTTCTTGTCGAGTAAATCGACGTCAGTTAACTTACTTGCATTATTATTCGAGCTGTTTTTCGCACACGTAATATTATTAATACTTGCTGGTGGCTTGCTGCCTTTATTGCTATCAAGCTTATCGTTCTTCGCGCCGCTCTTATTCCCTTGGCTAGAATTCGTATTTCGCACCTCGCACTTCTCCGCACTATTAATATTCTTATTTTTCGCGTTTGAATTCGCAGTCGTCGTCTTCGCCTTGTTGCTCAAATTAGTAATACTATTATTACCGCAGTTATTACTACTATTGCTACAAACTTCTTGCTTATCCTTTTTCCTATTATTTAACTGTTTCATCGTAGGAAGAGATACCGATGGCGACGTTGGCAAAATGGAAACTTCCGGTAGATTACATTGAGGCAATAGTCTTTGAGGTATGGGCTTTTGAGGATCGACAACAGTGATCGTCACCTCTGGCGTCTTTTTTTGTAATTCTATCAACTTTTGTCTCTCCGCTTCTTGTCTGTCCTTTTTTAGCTTTTCTTCAAGCTGTCAAGAGAATTAACATGTAGTTATAAAACTAGCGTAAAATTGAGTATAAAGTACAGCACAGCAAAATTTATATCCGAACAAACCTTTCGTTGCTTCTGCCTTGCTTTCTTCTCGGCCTTCTTGTTGTCTTTCTTCCCGCTTTGATTACCCTCGATGAACTCCAACAATTTCTCCAAATCCCGCTGATCTCGTTGATTATACTGGACCGTGGACATCGTTGAAATTGGAGTATTTGATCTAAGGATGGAACTTGTCACGGCTTTGGCTTCGGAGTTGACATTGGGAATCGACGATTCCGACGGGCTTTTCTGCGGGCTACATCCACCCACGGTCTTGCACTTTTTCGCATTTTTCTTCGTCAGAAGTTGTCGCAGTCGTTCCCGCATTTCTTTATAGTTTCGACTCACCGGCGCGACTGACGGCTAAAAAAATAAGGCGCTCATTATTTCTCGTCACTTCTTCGAGTCGAACAAACCACGAGACCTTTTTTTCTTTTTAAATTCAACTCACCATCCCGTGACCAAAGACCTCACAGTAACAACAGTCGCAGTGTCTCACATTGGCGTCTCTCTGCGCGGAGCTGCTAGTGGAGCACGAGTCCCCCTGACTGCTCCCTGAATCCGAACAATCCCCATCTCCTGAACTCACTAAAACAAGAACAAAATTAAAACGTAAGGGCATAAATAATAAATACAACTCTGCGGGGCATTCGTATGTTTACTAACAATCGTTACACGACATTCTCTTGATATGTTCGACGTTGGCTTGCTTGTGGCACGCATGCGGTGTATGATTGAGTGGGCGAAGTCTGGGGTGAGAACACGGACCTGTGTTTTTCGTCAGATCCGGTAGCGGTCCGTGGGCGTGCGAATGAGTGTTACCTGTGGTTGCGTGAAGAAAAGATGTACACGAACGTGCGTCACACGATAGACGTGACGGAGGCGCAGAAGAGAGGTCAATCGACGCGATGACTGTACAACGGAGGAACGCTACTTACACCTACCCTGATGTATGCTGTGATTGTGAGTTTGCGTTGTAGAGTGCCTCGTTTGGGTTTGGGCAGATTGCGTGGAGCCAGTCTTTACGGCAGGTTTCTGGCTCGGCTCTGAATTAGCCTTTGCAACGGAGGTCGGCGACGTTGCCTTGGGACGACCGTTCGCCACGACCGTTTCAGGTATGGCTGTTTTTCGATACATTATATCATTCGACAGACATCATTTTAATTGGTCGGCTAGGTAAGACAAAAATCTTTAGCAGCGCTTACATTTAGGCAAGCACGGACAGATGTCCCACTTGCGTCTCGAATTCAGCAGACAAGGACAGGGCGGACTTTCGAGAATTTCCTTCTTTCTCGCCGCTATTTCCTGCGCGTGTTGATAAACACACAGACAAGGTTCCGACTCGGGTGTCTTTGCGGCATATTTGTGCAAAGCGTCCCGCATACTCGACTCCTTTTTCTTGTCCTCGTCGGCCAAATTGTCCAGTTTCTTTTTAACCTGCGTCGCTGTACAACTTGCAGGTATCTCTGAAAACACATCTGTCTATCTTTCATCTTTTCGAGACACCTCTTTTAGTGTATTAATTTACTTTATTCGCCTTACCTGGAAATCCATTGCTAAGGGGCGGAAAAGAATTTATCTCGTCCTTCTCGACACTTTCGTCTTTGTGCATATCCTGCAAAAGTACATTGTCATCAGTGTAAATTACCCTCAAAGAAAGTCTTACACAAAGTACAACCATAATACAAAAAGTTGTACATCAACAATTATTTTTATTTCGCCAAAAAGCTTGTACTCTCATACTAATGTTGGAAGCACACGTGATATATTTTTTACTTAGGTTTTGCTTTAACAAATTGGAGCAAGAGTATGATAATTAAAAACAATAAGAGCGAACAATTTTAGTTAATAAGATTTGACATGTAATCGCAATTACCGTGTGACCTATTTCAGTTTCGTCGCATGTATAAGACTCGCAACCTTTCCCATTTTCAAGACCATTCTCGGTATCAACGGAGACGTCATTGTGAGTCCTAAAATAAGTCGGAATCATTTTAAACATACAAAAATTAATAGAACTCGAAATATACGAGTTTTTGGGTATCCACACGACATACCTCACTGATCTAATGGCGTATTGCGCCAACTGGCACGTTGCACGTGTGTAATCGTAACAGTTGGTATCACCCTGTCCAGCGGCATCCATTTCGGTCGCCGTCAATGCCCCGGCTATGTCCGCCAACTTTTGGTGCTGAGCTTTATTCCAATCGTCTAACAATATTTGAACTATTTCTATGCTCGATGGCATAGCTGTGGAATTCGAACTGAAGTCCAGTACTGGACTTAAAGGTGGACTGTCGCTTCCAGACGTGTGCGCGATGAGCGACGAAAACTGCCCGTGGATCTCTTGCATCTCACTGAAATGTCGATCGCGACGGATTAGAGAGAATCGTAGAAAAGAATTTTATCAAAACTGTTTCTCTCTTTTTTTTTGTACATGTGCACATCTTACTTTCCGATGTCGGATGTTTTGTTTAACATACTACGCTCCATTAATTTACGTGTTGTCGTGAACAATCCCCAGGCCTCCCTAATTTGCCTAAGCCTCGTCATACGAAGGGCTTGTTCTGCACTAAAACCACACTTCTTTATACAATCTTACTTTTGATCTTCCGCTATTCGCAACTCCGTCGAGTTGTACGAGGTAAAACAGCGCAATGTTCTTCAACTTACTTATATTTATCCATCCATGGCTCTGTCTCGGGCCACAAATTACCGATTCTAGTCATCTCGTCGTCGAACGATAAGTATCTATGAACAAGAGCTTGGTACTTGGAATCTTTCAACGGTAGAAGCTTCCTCAGCTGCAAATGCACACACGCGCGTTTAGATCTGCGAAATCGCAAACGCCACCGGACGCTTCCTCGGTAAAACATAGGCATTTTACCTGGCCAATAAACGTGGGTAAATTGTTTTGCACTAGAGCGTCGTTATATACATAAATCTGATATAACTTTTTGATGAAGCAGTCCCACGTCAAATTAAAGTTGAGGCACTTTTTCAATGGTTTCACTAATTCAGAAATTAAAATCGCTGTCGATACGAGAGCGTCGTAGTCATTCAAGAGACCTGAAAGAAATCGAAGGAGAAATGTTATTATCCGTCATACAAATCCTGAAAATTTGTCGTTTGCGGACAGGCGGTGTACCAACCGGTGAGGAAGATTTCAGCTAAATTCACGCTACGCTCGTGCAGAAGAGCGAACAAACGGATTTTTACTTCTATCACAAACTCCTGCGCCTGGCTCACTAATCTCATGAAAAGTTGATGGGAATCTCTCTTGCATAATCTACAACAAGAGGCACGGTTACGCGACGATCCGTTCGACGGTGGTGGACGGTTTCGATACGCAGAGACAGTTTCTTACTGGATAACAGTATTGTGCATATCCATCGTGAACTTGTCACGCTGAGACTGCGGTGAGTCGAATACGTGAGTCGCCTCCAGGGCGACGTTAAAGTCGGTACGTATGGACTGCTGCAATTCCGTCCACAGATTTTGGAAGTTCATAGCCTTTTGCAGCTCCTCTCTAAACATATCTCTGCACATAGACACAAGGCACTTTCGATTAACATCGTACTCTCGCCCCGCCGCCCTCTCGACGTTCCAAAGCCTCGTGTCAAAGTTCTAGTCCCAAGTACGTAGCCAATCAACTTGTAGCTCTTACAGAATAGCCGCGAGTCGACCGGCTCTCTCGGAACTGGAACTTGGGCGCAAATCTCTGGTCTACAATGAAGTTGTTAGTCGTCGCCCGGATAGCCAAATCTGTCGGAACGGATTTTGTTAAATGGCCACTACAAGCTTCGAGGGCAGAGAGACTGCAGATCGCATACAGGAACTGATATATATTCGACACGTTGCCAGCACGTCAGCAGAAATACAGCAAACTCTGCTCCGCTTCTGCCGACGATCTGTTGACAACGTACGTTCCGCAGATTCCGCTGCCAAATGCGGGCACAGGTAGCTACGGTTTTCGCGTGGGTCTCCGACGAGTCTGCTGCCAATCTGATGTTAATCTGCTAACATTTTGCCGACTGGGTAGTCAGAAGTCGAAGCTACTTTCGCCCAAAAAGATATCAACATGTAGTCCCGGCTTCCGACTCGTTGTGGACTAGCGACTCATTGTAGACCAGGCCTCAATCAACCTGCTCTTTACCGTTTAGCCTTGTAATCGGCTGTATTATCACAGGAGCACGACTCCTTCCCGAGACGCGACTGGCTGTCCATGGCCGCCGCAGAGGAGTACAGCTTGGCGAGCGCGTCGGTGCTCACCAGAGACGACTTACGGCGGTCCTCGTCAGCCGCTCTCGCGCCTCTGATAAACGCGTCGATCACGCGCTGATCGGTCGTCCCGCACTGCGAAGAGAGCAATTAATACAGTAAGTTTATTGACGCAATGGAACCTGCGCTCGCGGATAAAGCAGCGACACCCGGGGCTGGCCATTTAATTTGCGAAACCAATGGATATATTCTTTCGTGTAAATATTGAAAAGTTATTAAGGAAATTCTCAGTTTGAACAGTACCAGATAGATTAGACCTGTGCATACCTGTTGATGTCACAACAGAAGCAAATGTTGAAGATCATCGTATCACGGCTGCGGTCCATTCGATGCTACGAATGCCTCAAAGCACTCGCCTTCTTTTTTTTTCATTGAAAAAGAAAGCAGCGCTTCGAAGTATCTGTAGTGTTAAATGGACCGCAGCTTATAAAGATTGTTTTGAAAACAATGCGATAGCGCGATATACTCCTGTCATTCAAACGCGACGGTTCGCTTCGTTATCACGAGTTCGATTTTTGCCAATTGCTCCTTCATTTAAATCTCCGTAAACAGCAATACAACGTGGCTCGGTCCGCTGATAGCGGGACAAACCGACACGAAGAAACACCTATGCATCGGTCTAGTCGGTAGAGATATATCTCACGACTGTTCGCCAGGCCGATAGTACCAGCTACGCGCGTGCACGAAAGATATTACAGTTGCAACTATAGGCTTGTTTTCTGTTCCTACACTAGTGAACTAGTGCAATAAATTGGAGTAAGACAAGCATATTTTTTCTCATTCTAGCTTACTGCACTAGTTCACCAGTGCAGGAACAGAAAACAAACCCATTAACAGCGAATTAGATTCTCGAAAAGGGGTAAAAGTGTCACGACCGGGTGTCTCCTTTCAAGAAGGTTAACGGTGGACTCTCCGTTCGCGGGGGACTCGGCGAGAGTGTCGGTCTCCCAAAATTACGCTCGCGCTACCGAAGCGAAAAAGTTGGTCCCCGACCGCGCGTCGACTCGCGCGAAACGAGGCAGAACGAGGCGACGTACCCCGGTGGGATCATAGTCCGCGACCGCGGGGAACACGCGGGCGTCCCCGCTCTCGTGGTCGCTCGGCGTGTCCGCGTCCCGGCGCGTCCACGCGGAATCGCCGCAGCTGGCCGCGGCGACGGCGGCGTCGTTGCAGCGTCGCCTCGTCGTCGTCGCCGACGCTGCCGCTGGACCACCGTCGTCATCCATCGCTCCGGCTATGCCGCTTTCCCCAGCGACGATGGTGGTGGCGGCGGTGATGCTCCTCTCGCGTCGGCCGTCCTCGCCGTCGCTGCCGCTCATGACAGCGCCGCTGCGCCCGGTCCCGGTGGCACGCGCGCGTCGCGACGCACCGCACTCCAGGCGACGGCCGCGGTATCGATGCGCAACTGTATCACGGCCCTTACCCGGTGACGCCGCGTAAACACCGCACAGCTCCGCGCGACTCGGTCGACCCTCTCGCAATATGGCGTCTCGCGTGCGACCGTCCCTGTCCGCGCAACCGCGCATCGACCACGGCCTCCGCGCGGCGCGGTCCGAAAGCAGGCACGCGCGCCCTCGACGGTCGGTAAGGCAGGTCGCCCTAGGTAACGCACTCCTCATCGTTGTATACCGCTGTTTTACGGAGCTTCGGGATTGCGTATATTTTATAATATATTCACTTATCGTCTACAATGACAATGACATATGTGGTATCATGTTCTTATATTTATATTATTTTTGACATTTTCCAACTTGCGGCCACTCGCGGCTCGGAACGGGGAAAATTTGAGAAGACGCATAAGCGAGGCGTTCGCCCAAAATGAACGTGAAAATCTAAATAATCTTGAGACAAGAAAATACGCGCGAAACATCCTCACTCCTTCGCGTTTGCATGCCGCATCGTGGACCCGCGACTGCTCGTCGTCTCTTCCATTTTCGTCCTTCCTTCTTCTCTCCTCGGCGTCGCGAGAGGAGCAAAATTCCCCGCGCGCTGGGGACTCGACGCGCAAACGAGAGATCGCAATCGCGAACGAGCGAAATTATCAAGTCTGCATCTTTGGTTGCGGTCAAGCCGCCGCTAAAAGTGCTTCCAAGTTTTTCCGAAAGAAAGGAGAAGAATCCTTGGAAACATTTGTAAGCGACAGCCTTTATCGAGCACTAAAATTGGGGGGGGGGGGGGAAACGCGCTTCCTGTACGGTCGGAAAGATTGTCCGATTATTTTACAATGAATTTTCAGAATATTCGTATGTATCATTACATAGTCGTACAATTTGCTTTAATAATGTATCACCGCACATATCCGTGAACAAAAGCTACAATCTCTCGCGTGGTAGACTATTTCCGAAATTTATCACAGAACGTCGGACAACCTTACTGACCATGGGTCTGTTTTTTATTGCTGCACTCCTGAACTAGTGCACACTGGTGCAATGAGTTGGAATGAGAGGTAATCTATTTGTTTCATTTTAACTTATTGCACTAGTTCAGCAGTGCAGTAATAAAAGAACAGGCCTCATGACTGTACGCTAGGAATCACTGTGGTGCCCTGCCACATAAATTCGTGCACCTGTCAACATATTTACACATTTTGCATGTACACACTGGGTGAGGAAAAAGTATGGAAACCCCTAAATATCTCGGAAACTACGCATTTTCGAAAGAAATGTTTCAGACAAAAGTTGCAAGGTTGAGAAGGGTCTATTTACCTCACCCTGTGTATGGAAAATGTACGTGTGTTCTACGCGTGCTTAAATTCACATGGGAAGGCATCGGTGATTCGTCCTCTCCTCCTCCTCCTCTAGTGTACATACAGATTCTAACGCTGAACTTAATCGCATTGCGATAATCGCACGTGAATGACTCCATAATCAACAGTTTCATAATCGCATTCCTGTGCGATTATGAACAAACGTCTTTTACATTACTACAAAGAAATCAGTTTTAAATAAAATGATCAAGGACCACGTGTTCAGGAACATTTCTTAACTGTATATTGCGCATCGTATTTCAATTATATAAAACTAATCGTATTTGTGCACGTACCATACACTTTTTCTTACAAATTTGCTATCTGTTGAAAAATATAAATTACTTTCGCGAAGCTGCATTGTGCCACGCTAACGACATTACGTGTATAAAATTCTAAGCTCCCTTTTGCCAAGCTTACGTTCGTTTTCTCCCACTGGGGGCACAAACTATACCGAAACTCTATAGTTTACGCTACGTAAATTACAGATTTTCCGTATAGTTTGTGCCCCCAGTGGGAGAAAACGAACGCAGGCTAAGTACTGAGCAAAACAATATCATATGTCGATCATTAACGATACTGGGATCTATTTTTATGACGTTCATCATAGCATCCGGGATAAATTATCTCTAGTATGAAAAGCGTACAAGAATACAATAAGTACGAATACTGATACTCGCTAAGTCGCACAACAGTACCTCTCCCCGGACTTTTTGCTCAGAACAATCGCTTCTTCGACCTTTTTCAAGTTTTCCGGATTAGACGCGAAATCCTGTACGATTTGGTCGAACAACTCGGCTGCAAAGAAAAGGAATACAATAAAGTACACGTTGCGAACGGAACAGACCGGGCGTCGCTTACCAAAAGTGTAAACTCTTCCTTACCTACATTCTCCCCCGTTTTACTAGACGTTACGAAAAGTTTGGTCTGCGTACCGCTCGCGTACCTTTCCACAGTGCCCTGCAGGTCCGGATCGTCCGACACGAAGCCCTCGTCGCACAGATCCTTCTTGGTGGCGCACAGGTACACCTTACAATTCTCCTCGATACTCCTGAGCTCCCTCACCCAGTGCTTCGCTCTTTGGAACGTGCTCGAATTTGTGATATCGTAACACACTATGGCAGCCTTGGCGCCACGATAATACGTCCTGGTCATCGCGTCGTACCTGGCAATTAATGATAACGGCACGGAGTTAGTGGGTCTTCTCTTCACAGCTGAAACTGGTCGCGCTAGTTCAGAGCTTATCCTTCTCCTTCTAGCGCGGAGGAAAAACGATAAAGAGTTCTGAACGAGGGGGAAACCGCCGAAGGCAAAATGTGCTGTACAGATTTGCGACATTACCAGGCATTTTTGGGCATTAGTTCGGGCATTGTAAAGGTAGAATAAGATAAAACAAGATAAATAAACTAAAATAAGATAAAGTAATGCCCACTGGGTATTAGTGGGCATTGGTGTATGTACAAGATTGTGGTCAGCGGTTTCCCCCTCGGTTCTGAACTTGTGCGGCCAGTTTGGCTGCACGGAAAAAGAATTTTCTCTCAAAATTTATCCAGAAAATCATGTAATCACCGTACCATACATTTTACTAGCGAACTGTACGATAAAATTTCAGAATACTCTCATGAAGTTCTGCGAAATGCCACGCTGTCCCACGATCACACGACTTTCAGGGTGAGCTCGAAGAGAAAATTCACTCCGTGGACAAACAACGGATCCATCGAACGGCGTACGGCGTGTCTCTCCCCAGCGTCTCGAAATCTCAAGGCGGTGGCACACGCGACGCGTCGCGCAATCGTGTATACTCACTTCTCACTGCCCGCAGTGTCCCACAGTCCCATAACGAGCGTCACATCGTTCACTTGCACTCGCTTCGCCGCGAACACAGTGCCTATCGTCTGCGGCATAATTTCAACTGCATTAATTGGTACGCGACGCCCTCCCTTCCGCTCAGACGATTCTCAGCGCGAACTCTAACAACTTTTTACTTTTACAATTTTCTTTCCACAATGTCGCGGACTAAGAGAAACAAGATGTGCCACGTTAGTCCTCGCAAATCGACCAGGCCCGTTCCTCTTGGCTCTGCACACCTCGTTCTCTCCCTCTTTCCTTTACTCCAAATCGCGACTGGCAAAATCTCGCAACTGTAAAGTCTAATCTACAATGTGCTTTCCGCGTCTAGAAACATTCTATTTTGTATAAACAGATCAAGACGCTCAACAAATTTGTCAACAATGTACGATTATACAATAATATACAACTTATCAACTTGCATAGATTTTGTAAACGTATACATTAGCTACAAAATAGAATGTTTCCAGACGCAGAGAGCACATTGTAGATTAGGCTCAAGTCTTCTGTCCGCGTGAATTGGACTCGGGGCAAAGTGTCGCAAATCGCTAGCGCGCTCTTCTGACGCGCGTCTGACAGAGCAGCATCGGCGAGATCGCAACCGAAGACGCCCACAGGCGCGTTATCGCCTGCGCGTTTTAACTTAAAGCCCAGGGAGACCCGCGCGCCACAGAGCTTCTCAGCCAAGAGAAACGGTCCCGTTGTCCAGGCCCCTAAAAACAACTCTAAGGAAAACCACGGTTTCTCGCTGTCCTTTGTCCCTCAACAGTTCCCCACCTTCGAATCGTCTCTCCCGCACTCGCACGATCGGGGAGCGTCGACGCTGCCCGAGCCCTTCGGTTCCCTCGCGAAGCGGAGAATTAATCGAGCCGATTTTACCCCGCCCGAGTATCAGGGCCGAGCGTCGAGCGAAGGCGTCGAGCGCAGCGTGAACGCTTCCCCCCCCGTGCTTGCGCGTAATTCGCGCGGATACTCACGTTCTGGTAGGGCCTGTCGCCGTTGAACGAGTCGTGCACGTAACGCTCCATGAGACTCGTCTTGCCCACCATCGCGTTACCGAGCAACACGACCTTCAGGTCCACGCGATTCATCCTCGGATCTCGGGAATTCTCCGCCTCCTCGCACAGAGAGCCTCCCCGTGCGTATCATGCGCGAGGTTATGCCGCGCGATCCACGTCGACGTTCCGAAACGCACTGAGCGGGTCTGAGCGACGCTGCTCTTTGTACCTGACTTCGGGTCGCAGTGGGTCGCAGACGTCGCAGTAGGCAATTGCCATTTTTCTCTCTCTCTCTCTTGCGCGGGAAAAAGAAAGAAGTTACTGTCGTTTGAATATTTTGTAAGAACGTTTCACAGACAAAATGTGCGATCAGTCTAGTTTACGTGGCGTATTAATTAAATAATGAGAATGACAAGCGAATAATAAATATATATATATTATATTCTTAAAACATCACAAACAATGTGAGAGATAATTGTTATCTTCTTATATCGCAAGAAATGTAAGAGATAAATGTTATAATTCTTAGTACGTGACTAGTAGTAATACACCATAAAATAGCTGTCCCATTTTTAACGATGCACTCGAATATCGAGAGGAAAACACACTTGCGAGAGTCCTGCGGGGAGGTCGAGAGAGATTTACCTCGGTTTTCATCAACGCCGTTTATCTTTGATTTTAGTTCAATTATTTCCTTCTAAGGCTCGGTTTCACCAATGTACCTTAACTTTAAGCTCAGTTCAATACGTTCTTTGTCTCCTTTCAACTGTTACTTTAGTAAGAGACGGACGTGAATTAAACTAAGATTAAAGTTAAGCGACGTTTGGTGAAACCGGGCCTATCTGTCCCTTTGGAAAAAGATAAAGAATGAATTAAACCAACAGCGAGCTCGGTTGCTCGCACGAGTGCGCTTGTTTACAGACGATATTCTTACATTTTACTTGGTCTTGAATACACGCTCAAGGAGTATTTAGCCGAAAGCTGACTCGTATGGATGCTACGCAGAACGTTTTACTGGCTAAGAAATATTCCAAGAGATATTCAAGACGATCCCCAGATGTAAGAATTGACTGTGAACGAGCTTCGGTGTGCACTCGGCGCGCACTAGTGCAAGCAACCGAATGTACGATCGCTATAAGATCGAAGTTAAACGACGATGAAAACCGGGATCGACACATCTGGCCTTGAATTCTTTTGCCAGGACTACATTGGGATCGACTTCAACTTTCAAATGTAACTTTTTCAACACACTGCGTGCAACACAAGATTGAATAATAATATCTCACACTTTTACAAGTCTTCTATGATGTATGCGTATATATATTTTTTTATACTTCACACAGAAATGCTCGTCCAAGCAAGAATGCTCCGTCATTCTTCTTGAGCTACATTCTCTATCACGGTAACGAAACTAAAGGTTCATAAATATTTGTAACGGACATACAAGAGAGATCTGCCGCTCGCAAATCAACACGCGTTGGACATTTTTCATGTTTACAATTATTCATTTGGCCTTTCCCTGCGCAGCGACCGCGGCCATCGCGGCCTTGACGGTCTCCTCGTCGCCCAAGAACTTCATAGAAACGACCGGCTTGAAGCTCTCGTCCAGCTCGTACACAAACGGGATGCCGGTCGGCAAGTTCAGCCCCATAATTTGCTCGTTGCTCATTTCTACAAAAGAGGAGTCCCATTAGATTGTCATAATCGTAATAGATCAATACAATTATACTGCACACTTAAGCTTGTTTACAGTCAATTCTTATGTTTAGGGATCGTCTGAAATATCTCTTGAAATATTTCTTAGCCAGTGAAACGTTCTGTATAGCATCCATACGAATCAGTTTTCGGTTAAATGCTCTTTGTTCTATTTAATCGTAATAGCTCAATAAAATTGTATTGATCTATTACGATTATGACAATATAAATATAATAGATATGTATGTCTAAAAGATGACTTAAAGATGTCTTTTAAACCTCGTTTCCACGATCTAAAGACCTGTGTCCACGATGCTAGAACTTGGTCCAAGTTCTATTCACAAGAAATGTACAGCTATTCTGTAAAGGCCTGTGTCCACGATGCTAGAACTTTGTCCAAGTTCTAGTTTCGAGAAATGTGTGGCCAATCGACTCGCAGCTATTCCATGAAAGCTGCTAGTTGATTGGTTACACATTTCTCGGAACTAGAACTTGGGCGCAGTTCTTGAGGCCTGTGTCCACGATGCTAGGACTTGATCCAAGTTCTAGTT